ACCAACGCGATCATCTGCTGTAAGACCGCAGCGTTCTCGCGAATCGCGAGGCTCTCGACGAAGGACGCTATGACGCCCAATTTGCACGCCGCGCTTCCGACGCATTTATGCTGCTGCTTGAGCTCCGGGCCCGCGATCAAAATCGTGGGCTGGTCTCGCCAGCCGACGGCTTTCATCGCGGAGTTCACGACGCCGCGCCATCCCGTGGGAACGCACGGCAGCTGCACGATCACGTCCGCGCTGAACGGGAACGGAAGTCCCCCGGTCGCGATCGTGACCTCCCCGGGGACGTCCGCGTGCACGTAGGGCGATCGACACGGGAGCTCCCCCGAGCCGATCGGCCCGACCGTCGTCGTCAGCGTCAGGCCGCCGTCGCCTCTCGGGAGCGTCACGTCGACGACGACGCACGTCTTTCCTTTGATCGGCGGCGTCTGCAGCTTCGCGATCAGGTCGGCGGGGCCCGATACGCGGTGCTCGCAATCGTCGATCGCCGCGTTCACGTCCACGCCGTCGAGGCCTTGCTTCTTCTTGCCCTTGCCGCCCGCGTGCGCGCCGAGCGGCGCGCTGAGCGATAAGCATACGATCAGCGCGATCAGCGCGCGAAAGCTGAACGCGATGTGTTTTCGACGCATCGCGCGCGGGTGGTGGTGATACCTCCAGCGCGCGGCGTCGAATGACGGCCTCGATCGACGCGAGCGTCGTCGTCGAAGACGCGATTTCGGCAGGGCCGAGGGGCGCCCGAATCAGTCTCCAGGCTGACTGGAGTTCGTGCAGTAGCGCGCGTCAACAACAGAAAATCGTACGACGAGCAGTCAGATTTTCGCGTACGAAAAGGGGCGCTGCGGTCGATTTGAAAAAAGGAGGTTACACGGCTCGACCCGCGCCGTCGTTTTACAAAAAAATCACCCAGACTAATTGCGCAGTCGAGAGCGATTTCATAACACCCTTTTTCGGCAATCACGATAGGGTGTCAAAAACGACGACTCGATTTTGTATGAGAAATAGTCAGAAAATCGTATGAGAAATTTTTGTATGAGAAATAGTCAGAAAATCGTATGAGAAATTTTTGTATGAGAAATAGTCAGAAAATCGTATGAGAAATTTTTGTATGAGAAATAGTCAGAAAATACACTCTCAGATCTACACAGTACGCGAAAGTACGAAAGTACTTTCGTACTTTCGTACAAGTACTTTCGAGAGTACTCGAGAGGACACGTACTGAGAGAAGGATACAGTTGCTTCGATTCAGCCCACGCGGCATAGACGCCGGCGCGGGACGCGATCGTTCCGCCGCTGCGCATCCAAACACGACGACGACCGCCATGGCGGCTCACCCTCGTCGGCGTTCGCGCCTGCGAGGCGTGATCGCGCTGCTGGCGGTCCTCCTGCTCGCGCGGGGCGCGCGCGCGCAGGACGAAGATCCGGCTCCGAGCACAGCTGTGTCTTCGTCCTCGGACGCGTGCGCGAATCGGGGCGCGCTCGACGCGGACAGCCTGATCGCAGGGCTCGTCTCCGACGCGGGCGTCTCGTGCATCTCCGCGTCGATCGAGGTCCCGTTCTTCGGCGGCGTCGTGACGATGAGCACGGATCCGATCGAGGTCGATATGCCGTGCCAAGGCCCGACGACGGTCGCGGGCGAGCTCGCGATCGCGCCTCCGGGTTTGCCCGCGAAGATCGCCCTCGGCGTGGACGTCACGCTGCCGTGCGTCGCGTCCGCTGGCGAGACCGGACAGGTCGTCGCGGTCAAGCCGCTGTCGCTGACGGGATCGATCCCGGGCGTGAAGCCGGTGGATCTCACGTTCGGCGCGGTCACGGTCCCGCCGGTCGACCTCACCGCGACGTGGGGGGGCGAATCGTGGTCGCTCGGCGGGAGCGTGAGCGCGGAATTCGGTCCGACCGACGCGTTCCCGTTCAAGATCAAGATCGGCGGGAACGTCGCGCACGCGGGCGCGGAGTCGCTCATGTACGCGGAGCTCTCGTACGAGACCGATGACGGCGCGATGAAGTTCGACCTGAACGGGAAGTTTCCGTTCGACGCGATGGCTGTGAAGAAGGCGCTCTCGGCGAAGCCTTCGACTGCTAGGATCGAATCGAAGAAATCAACCTCGGAAAACGCAACGACGACGGCGGCAGCGCCGGCGCCAGAACTAGGGGACGACGACGACGCGTGTCACAAAGGGATTCAGATGACGGGCACGATGACGCTGTCCGTGGACCCGGACGTCGCCCCGAGCGCGGTGGAGACCGGGGACAACAGCGACGTCCCGCCGCCGACGACGTTCAACGTCACCGCGACGAGCGAGACGTGCGGCGGCGCGAAGGGCGCGGGCGACGCGAAATCTGTCTTCACGATCTTCGCGGACGTCTCGAACTGGCGCGTCGTTCGCGGCGCGCTGACGTTGGACTCCGGGAACGCCACGGTCACGATCACGTCGCACCCGGGGATGACCGGGCCGAATGCGACGAAAGTTTCGCGCGAGATCGACGGGGTCGTGCACGGTCGCGTCAAGTTGGGCGAAGATAAAGACGCGGCCTCGGGCGCGTCCGTGCCTCCGGTGTTCGCCGCGGGCGCGGACCTCGTCGTGTTCGTCGACTTCGGCACGGACCCGAGCTCCGGCGCGTTGAAACTTCGAACGTTCACCGTGAGCGGGGACGTCGCGATCACGAAAGGTAGCCCCGGCGCGGGCGCGAGTTTCTTCTCCCTCACCGGCGACGCGAAGCTCTCATACCCGTGCCTGAGCGGCGACGCGATGACCGCGAAGCTGAAGTTCAACGCGAAGAATAAGCACTTGGACGTCAATGACGCGACCGCGAACTTCACATACCACTGCGGCGTCGTCCAGGAGAAGTACAGCGCGCAGTCGCTGCCGGCCCCGGGGACGCCACTTCCGGTGTTTGAGATTCAAGCCGCGTTACCCGGGAGCACGGTGATCGGCGGCGTGGACATGGAAGACGTCGCGCTCGACTTCACCGCGTACCGATCAATCGCGAAGCCCGATGGAAGCGGCGCGCCTTCTTCTTCGTTGGGCGGGGGCGAATCGGCGTCGCCGATCTCGCTACTGACGCGGAAGATCAACGCGCGCGCCGACGCGAGCGACAGCGGCGTCCGGCTGTTCCCGCACCTCGCGAGCGGGCGACACGCGATCCCGAGCCTCGGTTTAAACGAAGAGGAGTCCGGGATCGTGAAGAACTACCGCGACCCGTTAGTCTCGTACGGCATTGCCCTCGGCGACGACGACGGCGACGCCGCGGCGGAGATGCCGAAACAAATCGACTGGCAGTGGGACTTCGCTGGCTCCGTGAGCGGCGAAGTGAAAGGCCAACGAGCCGCGTTCACGATGAACACGATCGACCACTCCTGGAGCGCGAGCGTGATGTTCAAGTACGAGTCCGAGCACGTCAACGCGACGCTCGCGGCGACCGGGTCTTCGTCTAGCACGCTCAAGTGCGACGACGTGGAGACGAAGCCGACCACCCCGCCGCTCGCGGGGGGTTCCAGCGCGGCTACGGTGAAAGGGACCGTGGCGTTCGCGCTCCCCGGCGGCTCGCACGCGAGCGGCACCGCGGAGGGGACGCACGACTGCGAGGCGGAGAACGTCTGGTCGATCAAAGCGAATATCGACTCCGGGGTGAAGTTCCCGATCGGCGGCGTCGGCGAAGTTGAGCTCGGAAACGTGTCTCTGTCGCTCGACGGCCAGGCTCAAGTCCAGTCGAAGAAGAAAAAGGACGCGGACTTGAAATCGGTGGGCGATGTGGAAGAAGCCCACGACACCGCGAAGCCGCACGATGAGGCGAACTTGCTCGCCGTGGACCCGAACGTCACAGGCGCGACGTCGCTCGGCAGGGCGCTCCTCGCGGACGCCGCCGCCGCGCCGCCGGCGCCGCTGGCGAAGGACGCGAACGCCACGAAAGACCCGGAGAAGCAGTTGAACTGGAAAATCGCGCTCGTCGGCTCCGGCGGCGTCAAGTTCGGCGGCGGCGACAACGCCGACGAGGACGCGTTCTTGAACGACAACTTTGCCGGAAACGTCGCGGTGACGCTCAACGCGCACACGGAAGCCGAGGCGAAAGGCCTCATCGTGGACAAAGCCTTGTTGAGAGGGGATATGCAATACGAATCGCCGAACGGCGAGCTGAAAATAAAAGGCGCCGTGGACCTGAAGCTCCCTTGCGGGGTCGAGCCCGGACCGACGGTGCAAGGCAACGCGCTCGCGAGCTTCAAAGTCGGTCCCGTGGACGTCGAAGACGCCGTCGCGGAGGTGGAGTACCACTGCGCGCCGACGGTGAACGACACGCGGTCGTTCCGGGTGTACATCAGCATGCCGACGCTCACGATCGACGGCTCCGGGACGCACGCGGAACTCACGGATGTCGAATTCGACATCACCGGGACGCAGAAACCGGCCGCCGCCGGGAACGCGACCACGGTCGCTCCCGCCCTTGGTGACAGTAAAAACGCCACCGCAAATTCCGTTTCGCCGTGGACGTTCAGCGGGTACGTCAAGGGAGACGCGAAGGTCACCGGCGCCGCCGGCGCGTCCGCGGGGTCGTTGATATTCAAATTCAACACCGCGGACGGGTCGTGGTCCGCGGGCGTCGATTACTCGTTCCGAACCACCGGCGTCGTGCTCACGCTGAGCGGGGAGACGAGCGGCGGCGCGTGTGTGCCGACGTCCGCGCCGACGCAGCTGTCCGGCACGCTCGATTTGATGCTGCCGTCCATCGCCGCGAGCGCGGAGGCGCACGCGGCGCATTACTGCCAAGCCGACGCCCCGGTTCGTACGGAGGCGAACGTCACGATTTCGTCGTTGGACGTTCTCGGCGGCGCGCTCAAGATCAAGGATGTTCTGGTGACGTGGCAAGCGCTAGGAGGATCCCCCGACGGGACACCCATGGCGGAGTTGCACCACAAAGGGTACATTCGAGGGTTCGTGGACGCGGACTTTGGCGTGAGCAACCCGGGGACGAAGCTCGAGATCACCGCAAAGGTGGAGTGCGGAATGTCGTACACCCCCGGCACCGCGTCCACGGAGCTCGCGCCGTCGGACGAGTCCGCGGCGCTCGCGCCCGGGGCGTCCGCGTCCGACGCTGATTCCGACTCGAGCGCCGACGCCGCCGCGACGCCCGCGCTCGGGATGTACTGGACCCCCGCGCTGCTCGGCGACGCCGACGCGGACGCCGCGGCCGCGGATCCCGCGGCGACGTCCGCGACCGAAGACGCGGCCGCGAAAGCCGCCGCGAAAGCGAAACGCGATGCTGCGAAGAAGAAGTTTGAGTCCGAGTCCGGGATTAAGATTCTCGATCCGGTCGTGGACGTGCGTGCGTACCTCAAGATTAACGGCACGATGCCCGCGGGGTCGCCGCCGATGCTCGACCTCGAACTCGCCGGGAGGTTCGCGCCATCGCGCGTGGAACCGCTGAAAGCGCACGGCAACGGCACGATCCGTTTCCCCGGCGCCGCGGAGGGCGACTCCCCCGCGGAGTTAAACGTGAAGATCAACGCGGTGATGTACGGCGCGCACATCCCGACCGCGGTGAGTGACGGCAAGGTGATTGAAATCTCCGCGTCGTTGGACAGCGGCGGCGGGATGATCTACGGGTTCACGATTAAGACGCTCCAGGTCCTCGCGACGTTCAAGAAAGCGAAATCATCGCTCGAGACTGGGAACCTCATCGAAGGCGACGCGCAGAGCTTGGTCGAGGACGACGGCACGGCCGGCATTACGTCGGATGATGAGAAGGCGCCGACGCCGAGCAATGTCGTTGCCTCCGGGGCAAAGAAACCGATCGCGTCCGGCGGCTCCGAAGCCACGTTCCCCGCGCTGTCGTTCGACATGAAGGACACCGAGGGCGTCGTGGACGTGTATGCAGATGTCGCGCTCGACGCGACGCAGCTCGCGAACAGCATCGGAAGCATGCCGGACGGTCTCGACGCGAGCGCGAGGATCATCTGGAAGGGCAGGATGGAAAAAGGCGCGACGGTGGACGCGGCGTGGAAAGTAGTGGAGTCGAACATCACGGTCAGCGCCGCGATTTCGTACGAAAACGACGTCATGGACATGCAACTTAGAGGGTCCGGGTCGACGGCGTGCGATAAGTCCCCGACGGCGAATCCGTGGGATCTCTCCGGGAGCATTCACGTCAAGCCGCTGGATTTAGAGCTCCTCCTCGCGGCGACGTACGCGTGCTCAACGCGGGACCTTCACGCGACAGTGAACGTGACGACGATGTCTGTCGCGCTCGGCGGCGACATGAGCTTTAACGTTCGTAACGTCGAGCTCGACCTGCAGGCGCGGATCATCCAGTTCCCTGGGGAAAAGAAGGACGCGGCCACTGGCGCGACGGTCGCAGCTTTGGGCCAGGTCGCCGCCGCTGCCGCCGCGGAGGGCGGCGGCAAAGAAAACGCGGAGATCGACTGGACGCTCACCGCGTCTGGGGAGATGTCGTTCGTGAAGGGCGCCGCGGGCGCGCCGAACATCGACGTGCGGGCTTTGATTCACGTCGTGATGTCGAACATCGGAGAGAAGAAGCCCGGCGACGGCGCGAGCGCGACGCCCGCGGACGCCGCGCTCGGCGCCGCGGCGGAGGCGATGTCGGACGAGAAAAACGCCACGAAACCGTCGTGGCTGCGCGAAGCCTCCGTGGACGTGTTCTTTGACTACAGCATGAACGGAATAGATGTATCCGCGACGGCGTCGTACGCGTACCCGTGCACGACGCACGCGACTGGGAACGCGACTTTGACTTTCGACAAAGACCAGACCGGAATCGACACCGGCCCGATCGAGGCGTTCTTGAACGTGTCGTGCACGAACTCCACGACCGAGCCGTTCGTGTCCATCCTCGGCAAGGTGCACCAGTTACGAATCACGGACGCGACTGTGATCGAGGACATCACGGTTGAAGTGAAAGGGTGGTACGTTGAAGGCGGCCAGAAACGGTGGTACGTTCACTTACACACCGGCACCGGGGACCAGATTACCGTCGACCTGAGCAACGTCGAGGCGGAGAACGACGCGAAGATGGAGAAGCAAGCCGCGATCGCGGCGGCGCCGAAATCGTCCATCTCCGAAGACGAAGCCGAAGCCGAAGAGCAGACGCTCGCGGTGAGCGACGATGACGTCGACGACGTCGCGGAGCTCGGCGACGACGAGGACGACGACGACGAAGCCGCGGAGATGGACGCAGCGAACGCGGCTGCCCCGCCCGCGGAGTCCCCACTCGCGTTCGACGCGGACATGAAGATGGACATCCTCACCGCGAAGCCCGGGAAAAAACACGCGAAGACGGAGGTCAACGTCACCGCGACCGCGAAGATGATGTACCAGAACAAAAACATCAAAGTGGACGTCGTCGGGTCCCTACGATTAGGCAAGTGCCCCGCGGACGGCACCCCGCGCATGAACCTCGCCGGTACCGTGGACTTGGTCCTCGGGAAGGGAGGCGCGATGCCGCTGTACGCAAAAGCCGTCGTCGAGTGCGTCGACGCGAAGGACAAAGCTGCGGGGATCACGTCCGGGGCGCCGGAGACGCCCCCGAACGACTCGATTTTAAAAGAGACGGACCCGGAAAAGGACAAGATCAAGAGCGCGAACGCGACGACGCCGACGACGGGCGTGAACTTCACGATGGGCCTCGCGTCGCCGTCGGAGATCATCCCCGGGGTGCTCTCCGTGACGAAACTGATGGTGGACCTCAAGACGAAGATCCCCCTGGAGAGCAAAGCCACCACGGGCGCGGACAAGCCCGACGCGGACAAGCCGAAGATTTGGATGGACGGTTACGCCGAGGGCGCGGGCGCTGTCATCGGCGCGTTTCCGGGCGCGGAGGGTCTCGACATGAAAGGCTCGCAAGTTGCGTTCAACGTCTCCTTCGGCACTGACGCGAAAGGGAACTTCGCGGTGAAGAAGTTTTACCTGAAGCTCGAGATCGAGATCAAGTACTGGATGGACGGCAGCGGTGGGGACAAAGCCTCGCTCGGGTACCAGCGCAACGCGCTGCTCGGTCTCCCCGGCGACGGCGCGGTGTATCACACGAAGCACGACATCGCGCGGTTAGGGAACGGCGATAACCCGCCGAACATTCACGCGCGGGCGGTCGTGGACGTCGTCTATCCGTGCGGCCTAGGCGAACGCATGCGGATGTCCATGAGCTTAGCCGCGCGGTTTGGGGAAATGCACATCCCGGAGATTCCGATATCGATGACGTACAACTGCAAACAGAACGGCACGGTGCTGCCCGCGTATACGATTTACGGCAACAGGGACGTCCCCGCGGAGATTGCCCCGGGGATTGTCTTGGACGCTTTCACCCTGGACGTGAAAGCGTTCGTGATCGACGTCAACGAGACAGCGTACGTCGGCAGAGTTAAAGGGCAGATGGGGATCGACACGAGTAAGGTGGCCTCTCTCGGCGCGAACATCAATGCGTTTGTTCTTTACGAGTTCAACTCCATCTTAGGGCAGTACGGGTTCGTCGCGAAAGTGCAGTTTGCGAACGATTACATCAACGCGGAGATATCCGTGCAGACTGCGAGCAGCGGCGGCGGGTGCGAACCGAAAGGGAACGCGACCGCGGCACTCGGCGGTTCCGTTCGCCCGCAGACGATTCACGAAGCGCACGTCGCGAAGCTCGGGCAGCAGAACATCAGTCACTCGCAGTTTTCGAACGTGGAGCCGTTTAATTACTCAGACGTGAAAGACGACGGCGGGTTCAAGTTATCGATGAGCGCATCGTTAGAGCTGAAAATACCAGGCGTCACGGAGATGCACGCGAGCATGAAAGGCTGGATGGTGTGCTCCGTGGACAACGGCACGAAGCCGATTTTAGAGATGGACGCGTGGATCAACAAAGCGGACATCGCGGTGGGTCCGAACTTTGTCATCGTGTTACAACGAATCGGACTCAACGTGAAGGGGTACCGCGCGATGGACGACGACGACTACACGCTCGCGACCGCAGCGGACATCAAAGGCTTGTCCTACAAGGTGCACTTCCGCGGCGACGTCTCGTTCCTAGCCTCGAAAGGCTTACCCGAGATCGGCCAAGGCGGTGCGAGCCCTGGGGACGAGCCGGACGCGGACGCACAGGACGTCGTGGAGCAAAGCGAAGAGGCGGGCGCGGATGTCAACGGCGTCACCGCGCACGCGGACGTGCACCTGACGTTCGACCAGAACAGCGCGCACGTGGACGACGCGATCGTCACTGCGAATGTGTGGTACCACAGCGGCGACCCGGAAAAGCCTACCGTTTTAGTACACGGTCAGGCGGTTTTCGTGTACCCGTGCGCTCCCGGCGCGCAGATCGTCGCGAACGTCACGGTGCTCGTGGACATGCCGCCGCTCGCGCTGAATGCGACCGCGGTGTTGTCGATTCCGTGCAACCGCCGACCAAGAGACCCGGTCGGGAACTTTCACATGGAGATTCCGTTGCTCACCGTCGACGGCGTCACGGTCACGAACGTGATCCTCGACGCGACGGTGTACAAGTACCCGAGCGGGTATTCGCTCACCGGCAGCATCTCCGGGCAAGTCGCGGCGAAGCTCGCGGCGCAAGCCGCGTCGCTCGGGCGACCCCACTGGCGAGACGCGATGAAACATCACGACATGGAAGCGGCACTCGGAGGCGAACTCGGCGCGTCCGTGTCGTTCATCTTCGACACGCACTTGGGGACGTTCAGCGCGAGCGTTGACATCGTATTCGAGATGGGCCCGCTCGAACTGCGGATCTCCGCGTCCGCGTCCTCGGAGTGCGACATCGACTACGGGAACAGACTGACCGGGAACGCGACGTTAGACTTGGGTGGGAGCAAGCTCGTCGCGGGCGTTTCCGCGACGCACTACTGCGGCGTGGATTACGCGTACCACATGAGGGCGCAAAACGCGCCGCCGGTGCCGGTGGCGCCGCGGTACGCGGACGCGTTCATCGACATGCTCGCGCCGCCCGGGAGCGGAAACTATTTTCCGAAATGTGTGGACCGGACCGGTCTGTGTGGGCCTTGGTTCGGCGGAAGAGTCTGTGCGTCGGAGTACTACTGCAACGCGGAAGGGAAGTGCGTCCACGGCGTCGACGCGGTGAGCGACGACCAGAAGGTCTCCGCGCTCGGGCATTCCCCCGGGTGGTTACACCCGGAGTGCTGCCACGGCACGAGCGATTATGCGCATCTCACCGGCGTGGAAGGGGAGTGCTGCAGCGCGAAGTCGCTGACGGTCGTGGACGGGAAGCAGTGCGCGTCCTCGCGGTGGTGCGACGTTGGCAGCGCCGGCGGGTTGTCATCTTGCGAGGAAGCGGCGTACATTCCGCCGGAACGCAAGTGCCACGAAGCCGCGCTCGGGCACCCGTCGCACGTCGCGCACATGCACGAGCGGTTCTCGGGGAGGGTATATCAAGGCTCGATGACGTCGCTGGTGAAGCACGCGCGCGCGGGGCTCGGTCAGGGGACCGTGCAAGGCGTCGCGACGGTCGCGCCGCAGGTGTCCGAAGAGGATGCCGTGCCGGCGCCGGCGAGTGCCGCCGCGGATGCGCCATCGCCGGCGGTGCTCGCGAATTTCAGCAACAACTACGGCGGCGCGTGCTCGCACTGCAGCGCGGACAACATGTGTGGCCCGAAGCACGGCGGAACCGTCTGCCCTGGGTCCTACGCATGCGTCGCGGAGAGCGGCGCGTGCGTTTTGTCTTCGGACGCGACCCCGCTGCCGAAGAATGTCACGGACCCGATGTTCAAGTATTCGAACAACTACGGCATGCAGTGCATCGTCGCGTCGTGCGCGCGAGATAAGCAGTGCGGCCCCGCGCACTCGCACAAAGTCTGCGGCGAAGGCGAGACGTGCACCGCGTCCGGGCAGTGCCGAGACTCGGGCGTCGCCGCCGCGCTAGGAATGGGGGACGACTCCGACGCGTTGCTCGCGGCGTATTCGAACAATCACCTCGGCGCGTGCGCGGAGAACGCGTGCGCGATGGACCACATGTGCGGCGTGGACAACGGGTTCCAAGTGTGCATGGCCGGCCAAACGTGCGTATCCGGGCGGTGCATGATGAACTACGTATTTGAATCCAAGAAGTTCTCCCCGGACGTCGTGGAGTTGGATTACTCCAACAACGCGCGCGGGGTGTGCCACCAGTGCGCGGCCGGGCACCTCCAGCTTTGCGGCGGCGATCAAAACTTGGTCTGCCCCGGGGATTTGGTGTGCGCGAAGCGGCCGCCGCCGGTAAAGGAGGACAATGCGGACGACGCCGACTCTGACGCCGATGCGGACGGCGCCACAGCGCCGGGTGGCGTCACGGCGCCGAGCCCGCCGCCGGAGGCACCGTCGAATCCTACGTTCGACGACTTGAAGAAGGGCTTCGGGGAGAAAACCGGCGGGACGTACGGCAAGCCCCAGTGCTTCACCCCGGACGAGATCAGAATTTTCAACATCACGGACGACGACATCGTGGATGTGCCGCACGCGACGGAGTCGCACCCGTGCGACCGCTCGGATCTCATCTCCCTCCCCGTCGTCGCCGAACGCGCAGTGTACGCGGAGACGTTTCAGGATGTCCCCGCGCGCGGGTCCGATGACGCCGCCGTCGCCGCGCTGAGCGATCCGAACGCGCCGCCGCCGAAGCGACACTACGTCCTCGACTGCGCGTCGCCGAAACCGGGGCGCTTACCCGTCGGTATGCCGTGCGGCCGCAACGGCGGGTACATTGAATCCATATGCCCGGAGAACATGCGATGCGTGGACGCGGACGCCGCGAAAGGCGCGGTGAAGAACCCGGATAAACTATTCGCCGGGTACGTCCCGACGCCGAAGTTCGTGTGCCTCGACACGGAAACCGAAGTCCCCGACAAGGACGTGTACGCGTTCCCGAACGAGGACGACACCTCAGCGGATATGATTTCTCTGCTGTGCGACCCGGACTCGATCACGACGAAGCGTCAGCTCACGAGGACGGCGACCGCGTCGAAGGAGAAACCGAGACCCGCGGACAGCGTCTTGATCTCCGACCCGGAGAGCAAGGTCGTGAAGTACATCAGCGTCCACGAGCCGTGCGGTCCCGCGCACGGCGGTTTGATTTGCTCCGACCCGGACATGATTTGCGCCGCGCGCGCGGGGATCTGCGTCACGAAAACGAACGCGATCGCGAACCAGTACATCGCGCTCGCGGAGTACAGCGGAAACTATGGCAACACCGCGCCGTTAAAGCTCGTGAAGGCGATCCAAGCGAAAAGGGAGGCCGCGAAGGCGACGTTCCCGGACGTCGGCACGAACCTCAGCGACGTCGAGTTTAGGGACTTCCCGATGTACCAAATGTCGCTCACTGTTCCGGAGGCGTCGTTCATGAACGGTAAGGTGAAGGTCGTCGGCGTCGTTTTCGATGCATATGGAGCGCACATGACGAATCCGTCGAACGAGACGGACGGTGAGGACGGGGGCGCGCCCGCGCCTACGCCCGCGGCTGGAACGGTCGCGACGCTCGGGGACGAAATGGACGACGCCGACGCCGCCGCGCCCGCGCCCGGACCGTCCGCGGATGAGCAAAACTACGACGCTAACGACGCAGGGCAAGAGCCGACGCCGCGTCCGCCGCCGTTAGGTATGGACACGCCGATGGAAGACCTGCACTGGGACGGCGAGCTCGCGGCGACGCTCGTGATGGGCGGCAGCGGGTCTTCGGATTCCATACCGAGAATCGAAGGGTCGTTCTCCGTCGCCGCGGCGTGGAAGAAGGCGCCCAAGGGTAACTTCACGATGCAGCCGTTCCTCGCGCGCGGTAACATCCGCGCCGCGTTCGGCGGCTCCCCATCCGCGCCGTCGATCACGATCAAAGCGCAGGCATCGTTTCCGGTGCCGTGCGGGATCGGACAAAAGTTTCAAGCGTCCGGTTCGCTCGTCATGAAAAAACTCGGCGGCTCCGTGGACGGTTCGTTGCAAATGGCTGCGGCGTATTACTGCGGCCAGCGCTCCGATCAAAGACTCGCGGACTTCAATGCGCACCTGTCCGATCCGATCGACATCCAGGGCTTGATGGAAATCACGCGCATGGAGGTCTCCGGGACGATGTTCCGCGTCGCCGGCCCTCCCGAGGAGACGCCGACGTCGACGGACGCGGCGGGGAACAAAGTCGACGACGTCGGGAAACCGGTCGACTCCGGCGTGAACGGCGACGCGACCGGGACGAAAGTCACCGGCGGCACCGGCTCTGGGTATTTCACCCAAGGCGTCCTCAAGGGCGAGGTCCGAATCTTGGGCAAGATGGAAGGTCTCTCGATATTTGCGCAGGTGTACTTCGACACCGGCGTCGGCGCCGCGGAGGTCACCGCGATCGTGAATTACGTGAAAGACGACAAGCTGTCTTTACACGCGATGGCGAGGATCCCGATCGGGTTCTGCGACCCCACCGGCGCGAAAATGATCGGCACCGCGAAGTTAAACGCCGCGCCGCTCGCGACGCTCAACGCGAACGCGCGAGTCGTGAGACACTGCGAATCCCCGGAAATCGCGACCGAGCGGTACGGGTATGTCTGGCTGATCCAACTCAACGTCGACGAAGTCTCCGCGTTCGACAACGCGATCGTGGGGAAAGACTTGGAGTTTAAAATCACCGGCAGACAGGTCGGAAACACGTCCGCGAGCCTGGAGTGGGCGCTCGTCGCGGAGGGCATCCTCGAGATCGGCACCGGCGACGGCGTCCCGAGCGCGCTCGCGCAAGTCGAGCTCGTCGCGTCGTTCCGCACGAAGATAATTCTCTCGAGCGGCGGCGGAAACAAAACATCAGCGGCGATCGCGGACGGGAAGAACGCGACGACGACGACGCCCTCGGCGCTCGGCGCCGCGGACGCCGCGAATGCGATCTCGCGCCACACGACGAGGAAGACGAAACCCTCCATGCTCGGCTCGGATGCAAAAAAGAACGCGTCCGACACCGGCTTGAAATATTTTGACGTGAACGCGACGGCGACGTTCCAAGCCGGTTACGACCCGATCACGGACGGGCCGATATTCGGTATCACCGCGACGTTTAATTTTACGTATCCCGCGGTCGCTCCCGTGGAGATCGACGCGCACGCCTACGTGCACAACCTCGGCGGAAGTAAGGGTTTATCCATCGAGAGCGTGGACGTGCACGTCGTGCTGTTCGTGAACGCCGCGCCGGACGACGTGCAACTCACGTTTAAAGCGACGGTGAACGGCATCGAGGTCGGCGGCATGAAGCTCGGCACCGTGGACATCTCCGCGAACGCTTACAACGTGCCCGCGAACGACACCCTCCCCGCGCTCGGCGCGGGATCTGCGGGCGGCGGCGCAGCGAACGCGAAGAAGAGCCCGGCGTGGTATTGGAAGGGCGTCATCGAAGCGCACGCCGAGGTGAGCCTCGCGAACCTCGGCGCGATGGAAGCGAGCGCGGACATGCAGATGCTGTTCAACACGCTGACGAACGAACTCGTCGTGAACGTGAAGGCGAAGTTCCACTTCGAGAACGACTTCGTCTTAATCGATCTCGAGGGCGAGACGTCGACGGAGTGCCGTGAGCAAGGGACTTTCGTGAAGGGCTCGCTCGACGTCAAAGAAGGTGCGGGTCTGCCGTTCAAGGTGCCCACGATCAAGATGACCGCGGCTTCGTACTGCAAGCCGTACCTCCCCACGGTGAAAGCGTTGCGGTCGTCGCTGAGCTTGAAAGAGATTGGCAGCGTGAACAGCGGCGAAGCCGAAGGCGCCGCGCTCGGCGACGCGAAGTCGCGAATCTTCCGCGTGCCGGATGTGGAAGTCGAACGTGTTCACATCAAATTGGGCATCCCCGCGTCGCACCAAACGCACGCGGTGCTCAAGGCGATCCACGACGACATCCACGACGACGACTTACATCACTCGCACAGCGGCGTCACGAGAGAGGTTTCCTCGCTGATAACCGTGCACGGGATCTCCATGCACACGTGGCGCGCGCTCGAGCCGGTGTTCAAATCTGAGCTCGCGCAGAGGCTCGACCTCGACGTGAACGACGTGAAGATTACGCCCGCGAAGGCTGCGAAGGGCGCCGGCGTCGAGCTGTTCTTAAGAACGACGAAAGCGGAAGGCGCGCCGTTCAACGAGCACGACGCGGCGATGACGGCGAAGCGACACGCGCGCCTGGGCGACGGCTACGGCATCCTCGGCGCGTTGTCGCGCGCGGCGATTGCGAACGAGATCCCGCCGCCGGCGTTTGCGCTCCACGAACACGACGCGGTGAACCACCTGTACGTGCACGCGAGGCGAACCGCGCCGGCCGGAAGCGGCGACTCTCGAGTCGTCGCGTCGCTCGGATACGCTCCGTCTTCTCATCTCGCGCATCTGCTCGAGACGAGGCACGGCGTCTCCGCGGCGGAGATGAAAATCACGCGGACGAGCGTCTCGACGCTCGGCACGTCTGCGAACGAAACCTCCTCCTCCCCCGCGGTGTCCGGCGACGCGCTCGCGAACGACACGCCCGGGCAGCCCGGCCTTGACTCGCAGAGCATGGCGCTGAATGCGCTCGTGATGGAGCTCAACGCGACTCGTCTGTCCGCGTCAGACCCGGACGACGACAACGACAACCTGGCGTGGGAGTTCAAAGTCAGCGGCGCGTTCGATCTGAAGGATGCCGTCGGCGGCGCGCTCCCGTCGTTTTTGCCGCAAGACATACGACTTTACCTTGCGTACGTCTCGCGCTGGCACGGGAAGAACCTCGACTCCATCGCGCCGACGACGAAGGCGTGCGTCGCGAGAGACGCCGCTGCAGCGGTCGGGAAATCGTGCGGCTCGAACAAAGGCGGGTCGTGCCCGTTTGGGATCGCGTGCGTCGCCGGTTTCTGCGCGGACCCGATGGCTGCGGAGGTTGGCCACGCGAGAGACGCGATCGCGGACGCCGCGGACGCCGCGTTTTCGTACAACGCGAATCACTCGTGTACGGACGCGGCGGTTGACGTCCCGAAGAAAGGATGGGAGCTCGCGCTGAGAGGCGAGGTCGACTGGGAGATGCCCGGGATTCATTTGTTCGGGTACGCGGACCTGACGATGCCGTGCCCGGCGACGGGCGCGCAACACGTCGGCCTGACGCTCGATTTCGACAAATGGGGGATTCAGATGCTGAACGTGAAGGTCGACGCGTCGCTCGCGTGCGCGCCCGCGGTGAAGAAGAACACGCGGATGTTCTCCATGACCGCGACCGCGAAAACCCTCTCCGTGTTCGGGTTCACGATCACGGACTTATCGTTCACTATGGACGGCTTCAGCGAGAAGGACGTGGACAAGGGCGGGGTTTCTTTAAGCGAAATGTGGTTCAACGGCACTGCGCGCGGTCCCGTGAACATCATGGACCAAATCGAGACGACGGCGATTTTCACGTTCTCCACCGGGGGCCCCGACGCCGGCGTCGGGTTCTCCACGTCCAAGCTCGGCGAGCTCGGCGAGAGCCTCGTGGACAAGGGCAAGGCTGCCGCGCTGAAAGCGCTCATGGGCCTGGATCTGCGTTACGAGACGGACATTCAGAAGACGCACATCGTCGTCAAAGCCACGGGGAAGGTATCGCCGACGTGTAAAGTCGTTGGCGACATGGTCGTCACCGGCGAGGCGTCGTTGACGAACCTTCCAATCCTCGGCGACGTCTCCGGTTCCGCGGAGTACCAGAGCGACTGCAAGAGCCTTTTCAAGGTTGCCGTGGAGCTGCACTTCGAGCACCCGACGTTCGACGTCGGCGGTATCAACGTGCACGTGCCCAGGATGATCAAGTTCGAGTACGACAAGTCAATCGCGAAGCGAACGATCGTGAAGTTTGAGTTCTCCTTGGGGAGATACTCCACGCTCAGGATCGCGTACGACAGCGCCGGTTCCATGAGCGTGCAGTTCACGTTCCCGAAGATGACGCTGTGCGACGCTCTGTACGACTTCTTCCAAGTCGTCCCCGTGTTTGACATCGATGTCTGCGGCTTCCTCAAGGGCGGGCCGCTGAACTTCGTCGCGGAGTTCTTAGAGGCGATCTCGTTCGATTCCCTCGTCGTTAGGATCGAAAAAATCGGCGGCAAGATGGCGTTCGCCGCGTATGTCGATGGCATCTCGCTGTGGGACGTCATGAAGTTGAACATCGGGGTGTACTACAAAGCCCCCGACAAGGTGTTCTTCATGGAACTCGAGCTCGGGGATCTCTCCGCGCTGCCGGATAAATTCCCGAGCTTCTTGAAGTTTGTCTTCGAAAAGGGCATCGCGATGATACCAAACTACAAGTCCGTCGGCGTCGCGTACAGCACGATCAAGTTCACGGACCTGCCGTCGCCCGCGAAGGACATGTTCCCGGCGTCGATGTTCGACCTCGGGGTCGGATACACGATGCTCCTGAACCTGAACCTGGACTCTGCGACGGACGACGGCAGCCAAGAGATGAGCGGCCAGATGGAAGCCTCTGCGGGTCGGTCGCCGAAACAGAACGAGGGGACGCACGACTCGGACAGCAGCAAATCGCTCGCGCGTTTGGGGTACTCCAACTCCCCCGCACTCGGCGCGTCCGACGACGACGACGACGAGAATGGCGCGTATAACGAAGGTATGGCCGCGGCCGCATCCGCGAAAGCGCGCGAGCTTTTCACGATGATGATCCCCGTCTCCGCGACGGAGATTTGCCTGGGACACTCGTTCAAGATGACGAACCCCTTTGACGGCACGGCCGGCTTACCCACCGGCGACGGCAAGCTGTTTGTCGCGTTCAAGCCCGTCGTTTGCATCGGGTTCGCGCCGCCGTCGCTCGGGATCGAGATCGAATCCACGTTTTACATTCCAGTGTACGAAGGCAGCAACGCGATGCGCAAAGCCGGGACCGCGATCAAGCGCATCGTTGTCATGAAGGTACACTTCGCCATCAAAATCTTGCCTGCGATGCTCTCGCTCGAAGCGAACGTCGCGGCGACGATGAAGCAAGGGAGCCAGTACTTGCTGAACCCCGGCGGGATGCTCCCGAAAGGCGGGTTGATTTTCCCGCTCAACGTCGGGTTCGGGCTCGACATCACGTTCTCGTACCCGCCCGTCCCCACGCCGACGATGCTCGAGTTTGAAGCCGGTATCTTCGCGTGCTCGCGAGAGGCGAAGTTGACGTCGAAAGCGACCGGAATGTTCGCCGCCGCGATGGGATCCGCGGCGGGACGGAAGACGTTCCTCGGCGGCGCGCTCGGCGACGGCGATCGCGTCGTCCAGCCGATGGAGCTCGGCGGCCACGCGCTGTTCGACCGCGATGGCGATCACTTCGGTAACCATCACCACGCGGCGGTGACGCCGACGCTTTCGCCGACGCCATCGCCGAGGCAGACGCACGCGCGCCAAACGTTGTCGATGTTCGACGATCCCAGGGACGACGAACCTCCGGCGCCGGCGCTCGTGGCGGCGCCGCTTCCGCCGATGGCGCCTCCGTACCCGCCGCCGAACCTCATGACGCCCGTGAAGGTTCTTTTGGAAGACCCGAAGGACATCGTGTGTGTGAACGATCCGTACGGTACCATCCCCGGGATGATCAAGATCGCTCTGCACATCGACGTCAAAGGTGGTTCCATGGCGTTTATGGTGTCGATCAAGCATCTGTCATTGGGAAGGCTTTTATACATCTTCGTCGCGACGCCGAAGCCTGGCGTTCTCGAGCCTGTGCTCCAGGCTGTCGCGCCGATTTTGGATCTCGTGAAGTTCGACATCCTCGAGGCGAGCGTGAACACGTTCCCGTTCCCGGTGACGTTGTACAGCGGCACGCAAATCATGGGCGGGATATACTTCAACGTCGAGTACTTCAACTTTTTTGGTCTCATCAAAGCGCGCAGAGTCATGGTGCACTTCTCCCCCGCGGAGGGCATTTTCGATCTTCAAATTTACGTCGATCCGATGAAGCTCGAGATCGGAGGCATAACGTTGCTCGAGGTCAAGGGCGTCGCCCCGGAGGACAAGTTTGACGCGAACGCGATCATCGCCGAGCACGACGCGAAACGCGCGGAGAAGGCGAAGCAGGCACGCATTGAGATGCAGAAGATCCAAGCCGAGCTTAGCAAGTCCAAGCCGCCAGCGCCAACGTGCCCGAAAGCCGCGGAGACTTGTAAATCGTGCACGCGCGTCCTCGCGCAGCGCAACGGTAAGATCGACTGCGGCAAAGGACGCGGGTACGTGATTTCCAAGATTTTGGACGCGTACTGGGGCGTCGCCGAGGACGCGCCGGATTGGACCTACGACGCGAAGCGCGGCCGATGCGAAGACGAGTCGTTCGATCACGAAACGTTCGGTCGCATGAAGTACACGAACACGAAGATGACCGTGCACGACCTGTCGAAAATGTGCGAGGGCGAGGAACAGTGCGATTTGACTCCGACGACGCAGATTTTTGGCAGAATTCCCGACGTGACGCCGTCGCCGGCGATGTCGCTCTCCGTCATCGCGGAGTGCATGCAGTCGGACTCGTACGATAAATTCAAAGCGGACAAAGAAGCGAAGATGAACTCGATGAAATGCGGCAAATACGGATGCAAGACGTGCGCGCGCGGGAGTGCGATCGAGGACGAATCCCCCGACGGCGACATCATCATCGCGTGCCCGGATAACCAGATCATCACCGGGATCGAAGACGCGCAAATGATGTCGAAGGCGCAAGCGCCGCCATGGTTCTTCCCGCTCGACGCGGGGTTGTGTCGAGACGCAAAGGTTCCCGTCGGCGACGCCACGGAGTGCGCGGTGGACAACGCCGCGGTCACCGTGTGGGTTCGAAGAACCTGCCTCGGGCAAGATACGTGCATGCTCACCGCGAAGCAAATCAACGACGTTTTCCGCGCCGCGCAGCCGTGCGCGGGCGAGGCGATGACATTATCTGTCATCGCGCGCTGCAAAAAAGTCAACGTCCCGAAGCAGATTCTCGATTCGCCGCAGACAACTGACGCGTTCGCCGCGCAAGTCACGCTGTCAAGAGTCGCGGCGCTGCGAATCGCGCCGACGTCTGCGTTCCACATGCGATCCGTGTTCCTCGAAGGCCACGTCCCTGCGCAGGGCGTCGAGAACGTCACGCTGGAGAGCTTCTCCGACGTCGCGTACGCGAAGTCGGTCCCTCCCGGAAATCTTAAATCGCAGCTGATTCACTGGATGGCGACCTCGCTCGTGCTCGGTGAAAACACCGGCGGCGGCGGGCTGTCGATCTGGAAGTTCCGCATCACGCACCCGCAAGGCATCTTCTGGAAGGACGGCGGGTACTTTTCCGTGACAGACGGACACTTCGCCAAGGAGTATTGCGTAACGCCGAACTGCGACCTTAAAAAGTGCGCGCCCCAAGGCGGCGTGTGCGAAGTCTCCGCAAACCTCCCGGCGTCGTCTAAGTACCTCATTCAGCTGTACGGTTTGACGAAGGCTTCGTCCTCGGCGAGCAAGATCACGATTCAGTTCAAACCGCCGCGGCACTGCCGGTACTCATACTGCAAAGACGAGTCGGACATCACGACGTGCGTGATGCAATCCCAAGATCAGATGCAGTGGTTCAACATCAGAAAGGACTCGTTCCCGGATTACACGTGCAGCACGCCGTCCTCCGCGGAGGTTATTCGTGTCAGTGGCGCGTCGAAGCCGTACTGCATGCGACCGCTTTCGTACGGCTCGAAAGATCTCGCGTCGTGCTGGCCGAAGGGGGACACCCTGAAGGGCGGCAACGCGAAGGCGGACGGCGACGGCGCGGATTGCACCGGGACGTTCGACGCCGCGGGCGACGTCGTGAAGCGCGAGAATTTAATGGTCGCCGCGATCCCCGGATCGGACGCGGCGGCTAAGGGCGCGGAGGTCACGATCAAGGACGACGGGAAGAAGTGCGTGCGGACGATCGCGCACGCCGCGGGGATGGGAGGTATCTCCTCCGTCCTCGAGCACCGGCTGCGCAAAGAAAAACTCGCCGCCTCGCGCTCGTCGATGCCATTAACCGAAGACGCGGAGGCGCAGGTCGCGATGACTGCGTCCGCCGCGCTCGGCGAGGACGACGACCGCGCGTCTCTCGTGCAAACGTCGCGTCTGCTCGTGTTGAACTTCGAGGACGGAAGCAACTGCACCGCGGAGAGCAAGCAAGCGGCCGCGTCCGGCGCCGCGAGCGCGAACACGTGCGAAGGGTGGACGAACGCGGAGAAGAACGACCCGGAGTCGCCGACGCCGCCGACGAAGCGCGCGTTCCGATTCGTCCTGAAAATGGACCCGAAGACGGGACGCACGGACGCGGGCGCGGACGCCACAGCCGACGGTGGCGGCGACTTTTTCGACGCCGACGCGCACCGCGGCGACTGGGGCTACGACTTCACGCGGTTCAAAAAGAAATCCAGCGTGTTGATGCTCAGCGAAAACTGGGCGGACAACGTACACGACGTGACGCCCTCCGCCGCGCTCGGCGGCGACGGGTGCTCGTACACGTCCTTCAATTCTGACGCGGAGACGTGCACGAAAGGCACACACGTCAGCGCGTTGCGAGCGGTCAAAGAAAAGGGCGGGCACGCGTATCACTTCGTCGACCACGCCGGGGCGAAGATGACGCCTTACGACGTCGGAAGTGCCACCGGTGCGATCGCGAACAATGACGCTGAGGCGTCGAGAGAGGCGTCGTGCGCGAACTCCGCGGGATGCCAGGCGTTTAAAGACGGCCAGATGTACTCCCTGCACTGCACGAGCCCGTGCTTTAACAAAGTCGGCGGCGCCGGCGGCGCCGGCGGAGACCCAATGGCGTTCATGCCGACCGCGCCTTCGCCGTTTCAGCCCCCCGTGCTCGGGAGCGAGTCTGTGGTTCGACCGGGGACGGTCGCGTTTTGGTTCAGGAAAAAGACCGCGATACTCGAGACGGGGGAGACACTCGTGTCGTTCCAGCCCACGGGGATTCTTTCGCGCTCAGGCGACGCCCTCGCTCCCGGCAGGGACCCGGCGACGGCGGACAACATGGCGAGGATCACCGTGAGCTTGAAGCCTCAGGGCATCCTCGCGTTCGACGCGGTGTCGTCCACGAACAAGACGCTGTGCTCCACGGAGGCGCCGGCGATGCCGAAGCTGAAGGAAGGTCAGTGGCACCACATCGCGTTTACTTTCGACCGGCACCCGATCACGCTCGCCGCGCGCGTGTCGTTTTTCGTCGACGGCTCGAGCACGGTGACGCGTTGCGCGCCGCCGAAGGACGGCGGGAGCGTGTTCAACTTCAACGCGGACACCCTCGGCGACGGCATGCGAACCGCGCTCGTGGGCGCGCACTTCGTCCCTTCCTCCGCCGGCGGCACCTTTGAAGGCGGCCTCGACGCGCATGTGGACGACGTCTCGATGTACGCCGCCGCGCTCACGGGCGAGGAGGTAAACTCGCTGTCCGTGAAGCTGCCGTGCGGTCGAGGGTACACCGGCGACGGGTTCGTATTTTTTCCGGACATGGAAGCCGCGCACGGCGCGGGCGGGGAGAAGCTCGTCGTGCACACGAAGGACAAGTGCGCGAAGCGCCTTCACACGATCTCGTTCCGTTATCTCGTCAGCGCGGGGAACAACCACGAGCTCGTCGTGAGCGGCGACGACGGCTCCGAGATAGGGTTTTCAAAGTTTGAAGAGCCGACGGGTTTCTCCGACGCGGACGTGTTGACGTGGCGGCACACGCCACCCGTCGTGTTCGACCCCGCGACCGCGGGATACGACAACATCGTGTTGTCGTCTCGCCCGGTCGCTTCGAAGGTTCCCGGGCGACGAAAGCTGCTGAGCGCTGACGGTGACGACGACGACGCCGACGTCGGCGACTTTGACGACGCCGCGCTCGCTCCGTCCGAGTACGCGGACGCGGTCCGCGGGCGAACGCCCGCGGAACTCGGCTGGTTTTGGTCGAAGAAGAAGAAGAAGAAACGCCATCACGGGCCTTCTGCCGCACAGCTCGCGGCTATGCGTAAGGCGGCGTTGGAGGCGAAGAGGATAGCGCACGAGAAATGGGTGAGGGAGCACACTCCGCCGCCGTCGCCGCCTCCGCCGCCTCCGCCGCCTTCTCCGCCGCCGCACCCGCCGCCGCACCCGCCTCCGCCGCCGCCACCGAGCCCACCGCCGCCGCCGAACCCGCCAAGCCCGCCGACGCTTCTGCTCTCCGCGTGGGCGCGGAGGTTCGGCGAGCCCGGCCCGCTCGTGGACTCCGTGTCCATCGCGTCCGGGGCGTCGTACTTGCGCGAGAGCGTGCTGGAGAAGGACTGGCGAGACGCGTTCGTGTCCGTCGCGATGCAAGCGCAGGATCGTCAGATCGACCGCTTCTGCGTCGTGCACGAAGTTGAAGACACGTCCAACTTCACCGCCGTGCTCGATCGGTGCCCAGAGGACGACGGCTCCTCCGCGGCGGCGGACTCGAGCAAGAGCGACGGCGGCGACGAAGGCACGGCGAAGATTTTGAAATCCGACGCGAAGTTCGAAGGGTGCTACGAAGACTACGCGAACTACGAGGACACGACCGTGGCGCCGGATTCTGGCGTCGCGCACGTGTGGCGCTCGCAGAGCATGAAGTTCCACGGCGCGAACGGCGCGAAATCCCTCGTCGCGCGTTGCGAAGCCGTGTGCCAAGGGTACTTGCACATGGGCATCTCCGTTGACGCCGACGCGACGTCAGAGGACGGCGACACCGCGACGTGCACGTGCGGGTTCAGATTCGATCGCTACAAGGAAAACATCGCGAATGTTCAAAAGGATAACGGGGACTCGTCCAACTGCGACGGCGCACTCGGCGCCGCCGGCTGCGTCAACGGCCCGTGCGGCGCCGGAAAATTCACCGCGGTGTACAAGCCCGCGGCGGAGGCAAAATCAAACGGGGTGAAGCACTTAGGGTGCAGGACCGGGTACGCTTCGTTCGAGAGCACGTTGCAGAATTTCGACCCCGACGCGGCGTCGCAATCCGCGAAGCTCGCGGGGAACGTCGCGACGACGACGGAAGCGATCGACGAGGACGCTTCCGAGCTCGGACTGAGCATGTTTGGGTACAGGGAAGCGTCCGCGTTTATCACCATCTCCGCTCCCGTGGACGGGGACAAACCCGGCGGCGAACACGGCGCTTTCGCGTCGTGCATCAAATCCTGCCGTGGATACTCGTTCCTCGCGACGAAGCTCAGCTCGGACGGTAAGACGTTGCAGTGCACGTGCGGGTTCAGGCTTCCGGAATACGACAATGCGCACCCGGATTCTCCGAAAGTCGACGCGGACGCGATCACAGACGCGAACGCGGAGGCGCAGTGCGGCACCGCGATCGACGCGTGCGATTTCGGCCCGTGCGGCGGCGGGAACTCGGGCAAGGAGTCCGTGTTTGTCCTCCCCGGCGCGTTCGCGTTCAAGGACATGAAAGGACTCGCGTATTATGGTTGCTTCAAGTCCGACCCGAGTGCGACCACGCTCGACTTGAGAGACGGCGACCGAGGAAAGGTAAACAACGGCCAAGGGTTCACGACGCTTCAGTCGTGTGCGAAAGCGTGCGCGCGAAAGTCGTCGCCGATGAAGTTCGTCGGCATGAACCGCGACGGATGCTTCTGCAGCGACACCGCGCCGAACCCAGAGGGGCCGATGGCGGTGAAGGACAAGTCGTGCCAAGACTCGAAGTTCAACCCGTCCGAGTGCGGTCTCGGACCGTGCGGCGGCGCGCCGACGACTATGGTGGTGTATTCCATGGCGTCGAACAAGGACATCGCCAAGGGAGGCGGCGTGACGTACGAAGGCGCCGGGAACGCGTTCGTGGAAGCGCGCGTCGTCTTGGCTCTCGCGTTTTCCGCGGATTGGACGATTCGCGCGCAAGGGCTAGGTTTCGACGGGCGCCTTCAGATTCGACGCCGAGGCGAGACGATTCTCGCCGTCGACGCGAGGGAACAAACCGGCGACAGCGTCGCGATCGAGACGGTCGTGAACTTGATACCCGGGACGTACACCATCCTCGCGTACGGCGTGTACGACGCGCAAGCTGAGGCGACCGCGCGCGAGGGCAAATACCTCCCCGCGATTCTGTTCAAAGAGCCGAAGTATTGCAACATGACCGAGTTCACGCCGATCAAGGCGGGGGCATTGGACTGCGTCGTCCCCACTCCGCTCGACGCGGACCCGGACGGGATCCCGACCGTGGAGAAACCGGAGGTGAAACCTCCGGCGTCGAACTCTGACACCGCGCCGGACGGCTCCGTAGTATCGACGGACCCGACATTCGACGGCGCGTTCCTGGACGTCCACATGGCGCCCACGGAGTTCCACTTCAAATTTAAAGGCCAGTTCACTTTGTTGTTCCTGAAAGTCACGATCGACATCTCGATCAAAACCGGCTCCGCGGACGAAGGCGGCGGGATCCACGCGTACTTTGGGTTCGCGATGGTGGATCCGAGTAGCGGAAAAGATATCTGCACGGTGTTTGGGACGTTCGACCTCACGCCGCTGGATTTCAAAACGCTCACTTCGCCATCGATCTCCGCGTTGCTCGGGACGAAGGTCATGATGGGGCTCGGGTTCAAGCCGGATATGATTAACAACATCATCGCGTCGATGGAGCCTCCGGTGAAGACTGCCATCGAGCTTTTTCTTAGACCGATCACGTGGACGATCTCGAAATCGCTCGCGGTCTTGACCTCTTTGATCGACGAACTCGAGAAGGCGTTGAAGGCATACCACAAAGTCGTGGACAAGGTCGAGAAGATCTTAAGAGAAGAATTCGCGAAGGCGTTGGATAAAATCACCCAGGCGCAGAAGAAGCTCCAAGAACTCGAGAACCAACGGACGTATCTGAAACGTCGGATCGATCATTACTACCCGATCGCGCACGAGCCGTGCAGTCCGCACTGGGGCAAGTGCTGCTGCTTTAAGGTTTTCGGTCACAGGATCTGTTTACCCGCGATTTACTTCACGAACAGCGGGTGCTTGGGGCGTCTCCCGCAGAGAATCGGGGCACTCATCATCATCGGTGTTTGCGAAATCGCGCGCGCGGCACTGTGGCTTTTCAAAAAAGCCGCGAACGCGCTGCTAGAACTTGCGAAGAAGATCGTCAAAGCCGCGATGGACGTCATCATCGCGCTTCTGAAAATCCCGGAGGGCATCTTACTCGCGGCGAAGGCGGCGTTGGAAGTCGCCGCCAAGGCGATCGCGTTGGCCATCAAACCGTTCGCGCAATTCGACATCTTCAAGCCGTGCATCGGGTGCATACGCTTCGACGACTCGTGCTTCTGGGCCGCGTTCCACAAGTGCCAGCTCCTCAGGATCTTTGAGATTGCGTGCTCGATGGCGTACTCACCGGGCATCGTCGCGTTCGACGCGGTTTTCCACATCATCGTCTTAAGCAAAGACATCGACATCGAGGTGCACTTTTCCATGTCCATCTCCGCGCTGCTCGATTTCTTCAAGGACTTCGTGATGAAAGTGATCAAGGACATGATGAAGGCGCTCATAGACGCGTTCACGTGCGACACGTCCGTGAAGTCGTACTCGGACGAGTCCGGCGACGCGAAGGACGCAATCAACAATCACATCCACGAGATGGAAGCGAAAGCCGCGAACGCGCAAAGCGCGACTGAGAACCAAGCCGCGAACGCGCCCACGTCCGCCGCGCTCGGGCTCGGGTACGCCGCGACGGGCGCGGGCATCGTCGCCGCGCTCGCGTCCCTCGGCGGGCCTCGCGTGGAGGTCCCACACGACGCGGCAGGGAACCACGTCGTGCGCGAGATTCGCGGTGGCGGCGTGCACTCGAAGCTGTGGCATCCGAGAGCGAGCGAGGGCGGCGGCGGCGACGAGTGGCGCGATCCGTCGTCGTTCGGCCACGGCGTCGGCGTAGCCTACGTCGGGAATGCGTTTGGCCGGGTCGATCTTCTCGAGGTTGGCGTCACCGCGGGCGCGCTCGCGTCGCGAACAGAGCGCGAGCTGCACGCTCACGCGAGTCTAGCCGCGCATCTCGGGGCTTTGATGGCGACGGCGTGGCCCGCGCACGCGGCAGCGCGCGCGCACCTCGAGGACGCGAAATCTAGTTTCGAATCCGACGCGGGGACGACGACTAACGCTCGGTTCCGCGCGATGCTCGGCGTGGACGCGAACGACCTTCGACGGACCTCCGCAGACCCCGCGAGCGAGCTCGTCCTCGCGTTCGAGCACCTCGCCGCGAGCGAAGACGGCGCCTTGGGTCTTTCATCGCCGCGGACGACCGCGAGGAAGGACACGTTCGGAGGGTTAAAAACGTCGTACGCGCGCGGGGACGAGGGCGAAGGCACGCTTCACTCGGCGCTTTCGCGTTTGATGCCTGACTTTGCAGAGGGCGTCGACGAGGCGAGACGCGCGGCGCCTGACGTATTCGCGGCGTGCATGCCGTCGCCGGACGCGCCGTTGCGCGCGGCGGCGGCGGCGCTCGGCGCGAAGGGCGAGGAACCGCTCGCGGTGGCGGCGCGTCACGTCGACGCCGCGGACGCGGTCGCCGCGCGCCTCGGCGCGACGCGCGCTCGCCTCGAGTCTCTCCACACGGAAGAACCGGAGGCGGCTCGAGCGGCCGTCGACGCCGCGCTCGGCGCGGCGAGAGACCCGTGCGCGGTCGCGGGCACGATCGCGGCGCTGCACTGCGGCGCGCTCAAGGCGGGGATCACGCGTTGGGGCGAGACGATGACCGGGTGCGCGCACGCGCTCGACGTTCTCGCGTCGCCGAAGTGCGCCGCCGGCGTCGACGACGCGGACGCGAGAGATTACTTCCCAGGTTCCACTGCGAACAACGCGCACGGTCGCGCGCACAACGGCATCGACGCGCGCGCGTGCGTCGAGACGGTCGTGAAGCGCGCGATGCCGTGCCCAGAGCGATGCGGCGACGCGTTTCTCGACATGGCGTCCGCGTGCGGCGGGGTCGTTCCTCGCGCGGGACGGTGGCGCCACGACGCGCCCGAAGCGGACGCGGCGAAGTGCTCTGTTGCGGTGTCCGCGACGCACGATTCGTGCCAAACGCACCGCGCTTGCCGATCCATCGTCGAGGCTGTGCCTTTGATTGATTCCGTGTACCTTTCCACGCGACGGTCGCGATATGCGCGCGCGCACAAGAACCGCCAGGCGCGTCTCGGCGTCTTCGACGTCAAAGACGAAGACTTGGCGCCTCCGCACGATAAACTCGACTGGGCGGATCAAAACGTGTGGGGTGCGATCCCCGAAGAGCTGTGTCACGACGACCGGCTCGAGCTGGACGCGCGCGGGAACAATCTTCAAGGGAAGCCGCCGTCGTGCGCGTGGGAATCCGCGAAGGCGGGCGGCGCCGTGATGCTCTCGCGAAACCGCCTGTCCGGGGTCATGAACCCGCTAGGGGACGTCCACACCGTCCACGCCGGGTTCAACAAACTCAGCGGCGACGCCGGGGACGTGTTTGGCAAGGCGGTCGAGAACGGTCTGAGGAAGCTGATCGTGAACGACAACAACTTCACGTCGAGGGATGGCCTCGCCCGCCTCGGCGGCTCGAAGAGGCTCGAAGTTCTCGACGTGAGCTCGAACGCGCTCGGCCCCGCCGGGTCCGCGACGCTCGCGAACGATCTCGCGTCGTTCCCCGCGCTGACGCGCTACGACGTCGGCGGTAACGCATGGGACCACGCCGCGATCGCGCGCTCGGTCGTGACCGACGCGAACGCGAAGAAGAGACCGGAATACGTCGCGTTGCACGCGCAAGTCACGCTGCCGGCGCGCGACGCGCTCCTGGACATGTGCGGCCACTGCCCCGGGTTCGAGGCGGACATCGGCGAGAACAAGCCGACCGCGAGCGCGGCGGTGAACCGCTGCATCGCCACGAACGGCTGCGAAGGGTACGGCACGCACGCGGAGACGAACCCGGCGGTGACGTCGTACGCCCCGCGCGTCCTCGACGCGATCACGTGCGCGATTCGCGCGGCGATCGAACCGGAAATCGTGAACAAGGCGTCGAGACGCGCGGCGAAGCTGGCGGAGGACGCCACCGCCGCCGGGGACGATTCGTTCATCCAACCGCCGTTCACGCGGACGGTGACGGGGTACTCTCGATGGGATGTCACCCTGGTCGAGGGTTCCCCGGAGCCGCAAGCCAACGGCGACGGGTTCGTGTTCGCGTACACGCTGACGCCGTCGACGCGGCACGGGCCCGTCGCCGACGGGGCGCTGCTCGAGGCGCTCGAAAAGTTGAAATCGCTCCCGCCAAAGGCGTTCACGCGCGCGACCGAGGAGTGCGCGGGGATGAACGACCTCACCCCCGGCATGGACGGCCGCGTGCATCGCGCCGCGGCAAAGACGCGCGACCACTTAAAGTCCGCGAAGGTGGAGACCAGAGGCGCGTGCCCGGTCGGGAGGATGGGCGCGAAGTGCGACTACGCGTGCGCGACGTCGTGGTCGCGAACGGCGACGCATGTGATGGAAAGAGGTGGTCTCAACATTTTCAGCGACGCGGAACTGAGCGGCGAGGCGAACCCGCACGCTGGGTTCCGCGGCGCGAAGACGGAGTTCATCCCTCCGAGGGAGCTCTACCCGCACGCGCCCGGGAGCGATTCGGAGCGTTCCAAGGCGCTCATCACGCGCGCCAGCTTGGGCGACGGCGACGACGACTACGACGACGACGCGTCGACCGAGTGCACGCGTCAAGACGCCGCCCGCGGTCTCTGCTTCATCGGCTCTCTCGACCCGATTCAAGCGCACAGCTACGTGCGCGATTCCACGCGCACGCCAAGGCCGGTGCTCGCGTACGAGCTCGACCAGTGCACGTCGTCGTGCCGCGGGCACGCGAACCTCGCCGTGCACGAGTGCAAAATGTGGTTGCTTGACAAATCGCACGCGCGACAGAAATCGACGTGCCGCGCGTCGATTCGCGACATGCTGCACCGTTGCGGCGTGCACTCGCACGATCACTACGGCGAGCACAGCGTCCGCGCGTGCGAGGGCAAGGCCCAGCGCGCGTTCGTCAAGCTCGGCGCGCCGAGGAGCGAGCACGAGAGCGGATGCGAGACGTGCGGGGTGGTGCACTACTTCGAAGCGCACGGGTTGCGCGACGCGGAGCATCACCCGGACACGGGCGCGTCGCTCGGTTCCGCGTTCGTGAAACACGAGCGCGTGAACTTTGAAGACACGCAGCTCGCCGGGCACGCGCGCCACGCGCGCGCGCTTCACGACCGGTTCGAGCGCGAGGAGCGCGAGAAAGCGGCCGCGCTCGGCGACGAAAAGGAGGAGGAGGAGGCGACGACGACGAACGACGTCGACTTAGACAACGACGAAGTTTTCACTGAGGACGCCGACGCGCTGCGGATGCCGGCGTCGACGCACCACTCGCTCGCGCGCGAGACGACGTACGAGCACTCGCTCATGTTCCCTACGTGTTCCGTGAACTTGCACTGCACGCCGCGGTGTTACACGCACGTCCATGGCGTGTTAATGCGACGATGCATCGCGTGGATCGAAGGCGACGATAATGAAAAAGACGGATGCGAAGAAGCGATCGAGGACGCGCCGAGGGCGTGCCTCGAAAACGAACGCGTCGACTGCGTCGACTCCGTCGCGACCGGGTTCAGAGCGCTGCTCGATCCGACCGCGATGATGGCGACGGCGACGATCGACGAGGAGGAGGACGCGCGAACGACGGCGAAGGCGCTCGACAGCGGGCTCAAGCTCGCCGACGCCGACGCCGACGCCGAAAAAGAAAAAGAAAAAGAAAAAACCAAAAAAATGAAAACGACGACGCCGCCGCCGCAGGTTGCGGGGCGACCGACGAAATCAGTCGCCTCGACGACACGCGCGACGCCGCTCGACGAATAGAAGAAGACGGCGGCGACGACGGCGCTGACAACAAAGCACGACGCGAGGGCGGCGGCGGCGACGACGACGAAGACGACGTTGGATGCCAAATTGGGCGTCGAGTCTGGGACGTCTTCTGCGACGTTTACGCTTTCGATTTCGCGCGGCGCGCTCGCGAGCGCCGCCGTCGGAGGCGTCGCGTGCGCGGTAGCGCTCATCGCCGTCTTGCGACGCGCGAGGAACGGCGAGGGCGTCAGAGGCGACTATGGCGACGATGACTCGTGGAAGCCGCTCAGAGGAAATGCAAATGCGATTGGCTATGGCACCGCGACGACCTCCTCTCTGACGGGACGAGGTCGATCCACCGGAGAGGATTCGTACGGAACGAGTAGATGACACTTCACGTCGAGCTCACAGTTCATAGAGTACAACCTTGAGAAGTTTTAGTTATTCTAGCAAGACCAGCGATTATCAAGTACGAAGGTATACTGTAATTAAGACACTAACAACTTACTTCTGGAAGTACCTTCGTACTTTCGTACTGCAATATGATATCACCGTTTGCAAATCTGTTTTGGTACCTGTATTTATTTTTAACCCGGGTCGCACGCGCGGTCGCTGATGTGGTTGAAGGATCGATCCCTTCATATTTAAATAACCTTTCACTCTGTCAGCACTATGCACGTTCTGTTGTACCCTAAAATTTGTTAAACATCATCGCGCCCGCCGCGTGGAAACGAAGCGGACTCGCTACTCGCTCTCGCCGCTAGACTAATTAATCGAGGTAGGACGACGGGATCGGGGGAAGCGAACCGGGGGACGCGGACACGCCGTCGTTCGATTCACCCGTCGCGGCGAGCTCCCCCGCCTCCCCCCCCGCCGTCTCGCCTCGGGACTTCCTCTGGGTGCTCCAAATCAAGTTGCACGACTCCAAATCAATCCCGCTCGGTCTCGCGCTCGCGCTCGCGTCGCGCGCCGCCGGCGACGGTCGCTGAACCGGAGCCGGAGTCGCCGCCATCACCAGGAACGGATTGTTCGCGTTTGTCACAACCACGGAGCTGTCGTCGGCGTCGTCGTCGTCCGTGAGTTCATTTTTATTCCTCGTGAGAAACGAGCCTGCGATTTTCATCGCCGCGTGCAACTTCTTTCGTCTCCTGATGATGTTGTACGCGAAAATCGCGCCGACGATGCCGAAAAAGATTAACGCGGGACCGGTCATCACCTCGATCGTGATCGAACTCGTGTCCTCGGTCGCGATCGTGCCGCACCCGGGCAACGGCGCGTATTCGTTCATTAACGTGGAGAGATATCCGTTCGTATCCGCGACGCTGTTCACCCAGTACGAGAGCGCCTCGGCGTATTCCTCTCTCACCGGCTGCCCGACGCCGAGCGGCATGACAACCTCGCTGAACTCGTACTGGCACATGTCGTCCTTACTCCTAGTGCCAAAGTACGCGTCCCATTCATTGGCGTAAATGCGCTCGATCAAGAGCGCGATGTCGCAGTGCTCTTCCCTCAGCGCCCTCGCGACGTCCTCCCCGGCCATCGGGACTGGGTAGTACTGAATCGATCCCCCGTAGATGCGAAACGCACTATCCTCCATCGCCTCCGCGACGCACACTTTGCACGTCTGCGCGACGCACTGCTCCATCGAGGTTATCCCGGTCTGCGTCGAGTCGTCCGCGACGATGTTCGCCGTGAGCTTCGCAGAGTATATAAAAAACGTGAGAAGCGTGAACAACGCGAGCGCGAGTTTGATGACGTTGGCGCTGGAGTTCCGCCCCCCCGTGAGCGGGTTATCGTTCCCGTCTCTCGCGACGTTAAACTCCAGCGTCGCGAACTCGAGAACGGCGCCGAACACCATCGCGCCGAGGGACTTGACGGTGTCCCACGCCCTGGTCTTGAGGTCGTCGCCTGGTTTGCTGTCGTCGTAGACCTCGTGTCCGCCGCGAATCGCCGAGTACGAGATCCCAGTCGTGACGATGACGGCGAGAATGAGCAGCCACACTCCGGTAGAGAACGGATTCACGATGAGGGCCACCTGCTCCGCGAACGTCGTCGTCGACATGTCTACTTTGTACATCAGCTTTACGTCGTCGACTTGCACGTCCGTGGTGAACGTCGTCAGCTTCATGCGAGCCTGCGTCGTCCAAAAGTCTCCGACGCAGAAATCTGAGGGTCGTTCCACGCGAAGCGACGTCGGGGTGGAGTTCAGGGGTGCGTCAGATGGAGTCGTGAGGCGACGAGGTCGGCGGGCGTTGAAACCGTGGGGTTGGCGGAGAGAAACGACGGACGGGCGAAGTCCTCAAGGAACGGCGTGCACCGCGCGAACGGGGTCGTACGGGGACCGGCGTGACGAAAACGCGCCCAAGAGGCCGTCCGCGACGTCTTGCACGCACGCGGTGTACTTGGACGAGTGCGCCTTGAGCGACCCCTCGCTGACCGTGTTCCACTGGATCGTGAACCCAGCCTCGAGCGCGACGCGCTCGTACAAGTCCACCCAGATCCCTTTCGCGTCCGCGCCGGAGGGCAGGTTTCCGTAGGTCGTGTATCCCGTCGTCACCATCGCGTTCGTGGCCGTGTCCACGACGTACTGAGGGTCGTTTTCCATACGAGGTGACGTCGGGGTGGGTGGCGTTCAGGGGGTGTCAGATGAAGTCGCGAGGCGTCGCGGTGCGTCGGGATTAAAACCGAGGGGCGATGGGCGGAGAGAAACGCGAGCGGGGGGCAAAGTCCTCGAGGAACGGCGTTCACCGCGCCGACTGAGTCGCACGGGGACCGGCGTGATGATAGGACGGAGGCGGAGGCGGCCGGGAAGTAAAGTCCTTAAGGATCGGCGTTCACCACGCGAACGCGGTCGTATGGGGACCAGTCAGCCCCAAACGCGCCTGATCCGGCGGGTACGAGAGGATGGGCACCGCCGCGCGCAGCGTCTTCCCTTTGAGATTGTCCAGCTCCCTGGTGTCCCACGAGCTCCCGTCGCCGCCGCACGTCGCGTACGAGTAATACGCGAGCCCGGACGCGTCCTGAAGTATCTGCGTCTCCCCGAACCGAAGCCCCGCGCTGGACGCGCGGCACAAGGCCGGGTCGACGTAGCACCACTGCTCCGCGCAGTACGCCGGCGGCGACGCGACGGCGGCGTCGCAGTACGGCTCCAGGCCGGAGTCGTGCGCGGCGCATGTGAGGCCGTAAGTGGCTGGGTAGCACTGGACCTCGCCGGCGACGTCGACGCGATTGCACGCGGCGTTCGTCCCGCTGTCGATGCCGAGCAGACTCCAAGTGATCGCGGTGAGGCACGGGCAGCTCGCGTCCTCAGCGGAGACGCGCGCGATGGGCGCGGCGGTCGCGAGGACGACGACGACGACGACGACGAGCGCGAGGAGGGAGGGGGGCGCGCGCGGCGAACGCCGCGCGCGCCGTGTGCGCGTCCTCATCCCGCGGACCGAGACGCGATTACGACTCTGACGACCAGGACCCCCCCTTCGCGCGCCGCTCCTGCTGCTGCTCGCGGCGCGCCTCGGATATCGGAGAAACACGTCGTAGCCCATTGCGGTCACGGGCTCATGACGGGTCAAGGGGTCAAGGCTGAGCCTCGACTGTACCTTCGTAACGTTTTTCACCCACCGCTCGGTTTCAACATTTGATCGCGACAGTACGTGTACACGTACGTTGTAGACTAAATACGCAGGTACGAAGCTTCGTACGATAGCTCTAAGCTAGACTAGTATCATACGAGTACGAAGGTACAGCTCTAGTAGGGTCCTGTAGCCTGGTTGCGTGTGCACTTGTCCAGCACTGCCGCGCGCGAGGTCTCGTCGTCCAACGCGTCCGACGCCGCGCGCGGTCTCCCACGACGTCCCGTCGCCGCCACAGGTTTCGGACACGCCCACGAGCGATACGCGTCGTCCCCGTCAACTTCCAGCGGAGCCGCGAGAGCGTCGTGTCGTTCGCCCGCGCGGCCGAGAGCGAGCGCGAATTGAGTTTTCAATTCGGCACCGCGCCGCGTCGCGCGACGTCCGCGCGCGATGACGACGGGCGGCGCCACCGACGGCGACACGTGGCTGGTCGTCGCCCTGTGCACCTCGCAGACGGTCGTGGGGGTGTGCGTGCTCGCGCGCGCCCACGTTCGCGCGTTTTGGGCGCGTTGCTCGGGCACGGTGTCCGGACTCTTCCATCGCGAAATCCACGATCTCCTCTCGATATTGTCGCCGCAATCGAGCGGCGCGCATCGGACGCGGTCGCGGAAGACGCGCGTCGACTCGTTCGCGCGCGACGACGACGAGAACGCCATGAAGAGGAAGAGATCGCTCTCGAAGGAAAGCGGTTTTGGCGGCAGCGGCGGTAATTCAATCTCAAAACGCGACCGCGACCGCGAGGAACGTGTGCACTTCGACAACCTCGTGGGCGAGGTCTTCAGCAAGCAAAAAGAGCTCCTGCACTCGAATGTGATCAAGCACACGGTGATCGCGGAGAGGGAATTTGTCACCGCGTATCGCGCGTCCCTTCGCAATTCCACGTTCACGTCTCACGTGCGGAGCGAGCAAAATTTCGTTAGAAACAACGACGACGCGAGCCTGCGGGTTCCGCCGAAAGGGACGCCAGAACGCGCGATGTACACGATAAAGGCGGTCACGCTGTTGAACGTCCTGTGGCACAGTAAGCCCGTCGCGCACGCGGTGAAGGACGCGTGCGGACTCGCGTTTCTCGCGGGCGCCGCCGCGTCGGCGGTGTGGTATGCGCACATCGCGTCAGGCGCGTCCCGCACACTGGTCCCCATACGACCGCGTTCGCGTGGTGCACGCCGTTCCGTGAGGACTTTACTTCCCAGCGTTTCTCTCCGCCCACCCCACGGTTTCAATCCCGACACACCGCGACGCCTTTCAACTCCCATCTGACGCACCCCTGAACTCCACCCCGACGTCGCTTCGTACGGACCCTCCACACGCAGACACGGCGTCGAAGCTCATCGTCGTCGTGGAAAAGTCGTTGGCCGAGGTGCTCGTCGGGTATCGATTCTTTCCCGCGTTTTTACTGCTCGGGCTCCTGACGTACATCGTCGAGCGATGGCGCGATTTTCTGACGAACTGCCACACCGTGCAAGCGCGACTTCACGACATCGGCGTCGCCGTCGGCGCCGCGATCGTCGACCCGAGCTCCTTGCGCGTGCGTAAGAAATTGTACACGTTGTATCGATACATGAACGTCGCGCACGCGAAGACGTACGCGAGCGTGTGCGCGGCGCTGCCGCAGAGTAGCCAGGCGTGCATCGCATATCGCCTGCTCACGGATGAGGAGGTGAATATTCTAGAAGCGGTGGAGAACAAGTCCAGGTGCGTTCTATACACCGGTCCCCATGCGACCGCGTTCGCGTGGTGCACGCCGTTCCTTAGTGAGGAGTTTCGCGTGCGTTTCCCTCCGCACACCCCTCGCTGCTTTCAATCCCCGACCTCGACGTCTTTAAACTCCACCTGACGTCTTTGAACTCCAACCCGACATCGCTTTGTATGGAACGACCCTCAGGGACGTCGTCATCACGTGGATCGGCGCGGTAATCGAGGACTTGATACGGTCGAACGACGTAAGAGAGCTCTCGATACACTCGATGCTCGTCCCGGAATTGCGGGGGATATGCGCGCGACACATGGACTTATTCACGCGCAACATGCCAAACGTGTGGTTCGCGACGTGCCACGTCATCGTTAACTACCTCGTCATCCTCCAGACGTTGTACCTCTCCGTGCAGCTCGACCCGGCCCAGGTCATTGAATCCGGCGAGACCTCCGACCACAGAGAGGTGTTGTTCACGTACGTCTTTTGCAACTGGGTGTTTTCGTTCATGCTCGCGTCGACGTACTGGGTCGCCTCGAGCATGGTGGAGGTCCTCGCGACGCCGTTTGGGTACGGAGACGACGCGTACAACGCGGACGCGTTGCTCGCGTCCACGGACCGCATGTTGTTCGCGTCACTGCGCGCGAAGTTTAATCTCGACGCCGCGGACGAAGGCGCGAGGCGACGGAACGCGCGGAGACGATGGTGGAGAGCGACGATGGAATACAAGGGCGAAAAACACCTCGCGCGGTCGTTCGATCACGACGACGGCGACGGCAAGAGCGCGCTTTCAAGTCTCGACAAAAACGGCGACATCGGTTTCTTTGACGTGGTGAAACAGCTGTGATCCGACGAAGCGCGCGCGCTTCGCGCTCGAGCTGTTAGGCAAATGTCCCCGTATCATCTCGTGTTGTAATATGACACCATGTTGTACGACGGATCCTCCCTCGAGACGCGGCGGCGGCGGCGAAGGTAGGTTTATTACACAAAAATTGAGCTGTATGAACATGCGCAGTATTGTTCCCTCACTTAGTAGGGATTCCACTGGGACTTACTACGAAGGTATATCCCTTATGTACGCAAGATGTGCTCCCTGAGCGCCGCCGCTTGGGCCGGGTCGTCAGGCTTCGGGATCTTCCCGGTCGGATCGTATTTGTAGTGATCGTGTTGGTCGCCGTCGTGGTCGTCGTCATCATCGTCGTCGAGGTGGCACACGCCGTGTTCTTTCCACGTCGTCTCCATCTCCTTCAGCATCGCGGCGATGTCGAAAGTCCCGTAGTGGGGGTGATCGTTGAAGTACTCCTCGAGCTTCTCGATGTTGGAGTCGGTATTGTTGAGGAAATCGACGATGTCTTGCGGGACGCCGCAGTTTTCAATAAACGCGACGCCGTCCTGGATGCCCGCGTGTTCCTCCATCGCCTTCGGGAATCCCTCCGGGAGGTCGCCCACGTCGTGGTTCAGCGGCGGCTCGAAGAAGTGTTCCGCGAGGTGTTCATGGTCGCCGTCGTGGTCGCCGTCGTGGTCGCCGTCGTGGTCGTCGTGGTCGTCGTCGTGGTCGTGGGTTTTATTGTACTGCGCGTCGAGATGCTTGATAATCTCCTTGAGCTCGTGCTCGAACATGGCCGCGATGTCGTGCTCCTCGAGAGCCCGGTCGTGCACGGGGGACGTCGGCACCGGGGGCGCGGGCATGTCGACCGCGACGGGCACGTGTGTTTCGTTCGCCATCGCGTCCATTTTCGCCTTGTACGCCTCCGCTCTCGACGTCATGTTCGACAGGTTCGCGAGGGTGTTCTGCAAGGTCGCGTGCTCTTCCGCGTTCGTCGCGTTCAGCTCCACGATCTTCGCTCTCAGCGCCGCGATCGTCACGTTGTTCTTCTCGAGGAGCTCCTTCTTCTCCGCGATCGTGAGCGACGAGTCCGAGAGCTTCTTCTTCAACGCCTCGATCGCGGCGGCGATCTCCGGCTGCTTGCTCGAGATCGTCCCCACGATCGCGCTCGTGTTCGCGAGCGTCTCCTTGACCTCGGCCAGGGACGTCTGGTTGAGCTTCGCGCCGACCTTCTTGATGTCGGTCGTCAAGTTCGCGATTCTGTCCATCGTCGGCTGGTTCTGCATCGCCGCCGCCTCCGCGGCGGCGGCGTCAGCGGCCGCTTTCGCCGCGGCTTCGTGCTCCTCCTTCGTCTCCGTGATCGTGCCGTTGATGTGGTACTTCGAGCAGTCGTTCTTCACGACCGGTTCCACGCCCCACGAGCTCGCGATCTCGGGGGTGTCGTACGCGCTGAGCGTTCCGACGTCGTCGATGACGCGGTAGATGGTCGTGTTCTTGCACGCCGCGCACTCCGTGAGCGGGGGGACGCCGGCGAGGCACTTCACTGAGGCGCCCTCGGGGGGGATCGCGGCTTGCTCCGCTTTTTCCTTCAGCTCCGCCTCGTAGGCCGCCTTGGTGGTCAGCCTGGGATCGGTTATTATGTCGTACGGCGCGCAGTCGATCTTCGTGATCTTCCCGGACGGGTCCCACTCGTGCACGTTAGCCATGGAAGCGTACTGGCGCAGGCGGCCGCCGTCGTTCATGACGCGTAAGACCCCCGCCTGCCGGGTGCCGTCGAGGCACGCCACGGAGGCGCCCTCCGCGGGGGGGGTCGCCGGCGTCTCGTCCACGGCTTTCTTCGCCGTCGCCACCTTCTTCTTCGCGTCTTCGTCCTTCGCTTGGAGCGCGTCGTGCTGTTTCTGCGTGTCAGCCGTTCGGACCTCCAGGGCTTTCAACTTCTCCTTGAGGTCAGCCGCGCGGGTCTTGAACGCCGCGAACTTCTTCGTGAATTTGGCCTTGCTACTCTTCACTTGTTGATGAGAAGCGCATTCTTTATCGCGTCCCTCTTTCTTCCCGTGTTTATTCCAGTGTCTTTTCGCGGCACCGATGTTGTGTCCGAAGGCTCTGAGTAAGTCCGAGTACCTGTTGACGTAGCACTTGGCTTCTTCTGTGGTCATGTAATCGCAGTCGAGCGTGCGGTGCTCGTGTCTCCCGTGGTCCACCCAGTGGTTTTTCGCAGCAGCGATGTTGTGTCCGAAGGCTCTGCTTAAGTCCCGGTACCGATGGAGGTAGCATTTGGCTTGATCGTCGGAAATATCCTTGTCGATGTTCGCGAGCGAGCCCTCGAGCGCGTGGTGCAATTTTTCGACTTTTTGCAACGCCTTCTGAACGAAGTCGGTCCTGTCGTGGATCTTTCCGCCCAAGTTTGTGTTCGCGGTGAGCTTCTCGCTTAACTTGTTCTCCGCCGCGGTGAGTTTCTCGAGGATGTCTTCGAGGTGCTTGTTCGCGGCCGTCGCGGCCTCCTCGGCGGCTTTTTGGAATTTGGCCTTCTTATCGGCCTCCGCGTCCGCGGCGGACGAATCGGCGGCGACGTACGTCGTGTTGGCGTCGTCAGCCGAGTCGTCAGCGGACGGCGCCGGGGCGGTCGCGTTGGCGTCGTCGCCGGACGGCGCCGGGGCGGTCGCGTTGGCGTCGTCAGCGGACGGCGCCGGGGCGGGCGCGTCCGCGTCGTCGCCGTCCGCGGCCGCGAGCGTCGCGACGCGCGGCGCGCGCTCGGCGCCGAGGGCGACCTGGGAGCTCACGATCGAGGTCGCGCCGCGCGTCGTCGCGACGAACGCCGCGAGCGCGACGCCGAGGACGAGCGCGACCGCGGAGGCGACGCGCGCGGCGGATACGCCGCGCGATGATTTCGCCTGGCGCGCTAGCAGCGGCGTGTTCTCCTGGAGAGGCGACATCGTTCGAGACGCGACCTCGCCGTTCGCCGCGCGCGCGTTCAACGACGGATTCGAACGCGCGATCAGTACGACGCGCTGCGTGAGGGGCGCGCGGGAAACGCGCGGGTTCGAGCGCGGGTTCGCGACGCGTTCGCGCGGGGGCGGGCCTCGCCGACCTTGGCGAGACTTGAGCGCGCGTGCGGGGAAGCGCGCGCTGTTGTGCGCTCGCGGTCGGCCGCGTTCGCTCGCCGCCAAGACTCGAAGTTCAACACTAACCAACCCGACCGCAACCTTTCGCGCGAACGTGTGTGTATACTGTATCTGATTACAAAAAGACTGAGCTCTAACCCATCCGGGCAAAACATGTGATCTAAATGCGAGCAGACCACACTACGAACAATCCTCTCACGTAGTAAGCAACCCCACGACGGGATTCATGAAACCCATGTGAGCCTCACGAGCGCACGGAGCCTGGGCGAGGTGGAAATCGCCAGCTGTGTCGCGAACGTACGTGTACACGCAACTTGCCTGGAACAGTGTAACACCTTTTCGACTGCAAGCGATTTGCGATGAAATCTGAAAACGAACCCAGATTGATCGATCGAAAATTTTGAAAGGAAAACGTTCACCGCGCAATCGTGTCGCTGAAAGAGGGGAAAGGACCCTCCATGGATATCGAACGTAGTCTAGCTAGCTCACAGCTCACCCACGTAGTTGCAATTTCGAACCACTCCCCGATCGAGCCATCCGATCAAACCTGATCGCCAACCGATCGACCGTTTGATGATGCGCCGCTGCCACTGCCGCCAGCGTGTCATCACGACGCGCGAACGCGAACGGTCCGAGCGCGGTTTTGAACACTCGATCCACGCGCGCGGCGCAACCGACGGGCGGCGAGGCGGACCGTCGACATGAGCTCCGCGACCGCGGCGGCGTCGTTCCGCGGACGCGCGGCGTGCGCGGCGTCGAGCGGCCGCGGCGAAGGCGGCGCGCGTCCGCGTCTTCTCCTCGCGCGCGCGTCGCGCGGGCGCGGACGGCACGTCGCGCGCCAAGACGCGCGGGCGCGACGCGGACGCGCGCCGTCGCGCCGTCGCGCCGCGCTCGTCCTACGCGCGGCGGCGGCGAGCGGCGACGCCGGCGCGGCCGACGACGCGCCCGTGGCGAGGAAGACGCGGACGGTGAAGATATTCAGCGTCAACGACGGTGCGTCGCGTCGCACGCGTCGTCGTCGTCGTCCCGGACCGTTCGCTTCAAAATCGTCCCGCGCCGAGATCGTCGTTCGAAACCAACCGGACGTCGCGCGCCCTCCTTCCTCCTCCTCCTCCTCCTCCTCCTCCTCCTACTCCTCCGCGTCCGCGTCCGCGTCCGCGTCGCTGACCGCCGACGCCGCCGGCCGTCGACCCGTCCTCCGTCCCCCGCAGTGTACGAGCTCCACAACCTCAGCGCGTTGAAGTGCTTCGTGGAGGACCACGTCGAGCCGGGCGAGCCTCACCTCTTGACGCTCAACGGCGACTTCCTCTCCCCCTCCCTCCTGTCGTCGCTCGACCTCGGCGCGGCCGCGGTGCGGGTCATGAACGCCGTGGGCGTCACGCACGCGTGCCTCGGGAACCACGAGTTCGACCACAGCGTCGCGACGTTGGGGCTGCGGCTCTCGGGTGCGTTCTGTGCAAACGTTTTTCACCCATCCTTCGGTTTCAAAATTTGATCGCGTGGGTCCCTTTCAACTGACCGGTGAACTTTTTTTGTATGGAATGGCCCTCAGAGCTGGAGTGCGAGGTGGTCAACACCAACGTCTTCGCGTGTCCCGTCGGCGCCGAGCGCGGGAGCGCGTCCGCGGCGGCGGCGGCGACGCGCGGACCGACCGGCGTCCCGTTCCCCGCCGTGAGCGGCGTCGGCGGCGGCGGCGGCGACGGCGACGGCGATGATGTCGCTCCCTCGGCGGCGGCGACGCTCGGCGCGGGGGCGTTTTTGGACGAGCTCCCGAGGGCGTCGATCGCGGAGATCAACGGCGTGAAGATCGGCCTCCTCGGCGTGTGCACGACGTCGACGCCGTTGTCGTCCGCGAAGAAACCCGTCGGCGTCGTGTTCGCAGACGCGATCCCGATGGCGCGGCACCACGCCCGCGAGCTGCTCCCGCGCGTCGACGCGATCGTCGCGCTGACGCATCAGGCGCGTTCTCCGCGCGCGTTTTTCATTTCACTCACCCCGACCCCGCGCGTAGGTTCGACGCGCAGGTTCGATCGCGTCCCCTTTCGACTGACCGACGGATGATTCACTTTTTTTCGCACGGAACGGAATCGCCCGCAGACGTTGCCCGAGGACGCGCGGCTCGCGGAGGACGTCCCGGAGATTGGGCTCATCCTCGGCGGACACGAGCACACGCCGTTCGCGGGACGGATGGGGCACGGCGCGAACGCCGCGAGCGTGGGCGCGGGCGTCGCCGCGAACGACGCGGACGGCGGCGGCGGCGCGTGCGTGAACGACGAGGCCGGGACGCTGTGCGTCAAGGCGGGCATGGACGCGGAGTGCGTCGTCGTCGTGGAAGTTGAACTGCCGGAGCCGGACGGCGACGGTCGCGACGCGGTGGGCGCGGACAGAGGCGGCGAGTGCACGGCGGCGAACGCGGCGGGGGGCGTCGCGGACGCGGCGTACGCCGCGCGGAAACACCACGACGACTTTGGGCACGGCGGGCTGTGGTCGGACGCGATCGACGACGCGGACGGGGCGTCGAACAACGTCGTCGCGGCGCCGACGCCGTCAGGGGCGGGGACGGGGGCGAAGAGGACGCCACTGCCGCGCTCTGGGGAGGAGGACGCGGAAGTCGTCGACCACCGCGCGCGGCCCGGCGCTGAAGTTGGCAAAGAGGTGGCCGTGGTCCGCCCGGGCAGCGGCGTGCGCATATCCGCGAGGATGTTCTCCCTGCGCGGATACCGCACCGACCCGGCGGTGGACGCGGAGATTTACGAGCGCTCAGGTGCGTTCTATACACTGGTTCCCATACGACCCCGTTCGCGTGGTGGACGCCGATCCTTAAGGACTTTTCCCGTCGTCTCTCTCCGCCTACCCCTCGCTTTCAATCCCCGCCCTCGGCGCCTTTCAACTCCAACTGACGCCTTTCAACTCCCACCCCGACATTCGCTTGTACAGAGATTCTGCGCGGGATGAACCAGCACACGCTGTCGCTTCACGAGCACGGCGAAACTTTGGGTCTGACCCCGCTGTCGTCGCGGGACTCGCGAGGCGGGCAGTGCTCCCTCGGGACGCTGTTCGCGACGATACTGAGGGACGAGTGCGGCGCCGACGTGTGCCTGTACAACAGCGGCGGGATAAGAGGAAACGCGCGGTACGGCTCTGACGCGCTGACGTACGGCGACCTCGTCGCGGAGGTGCCGTTCGAGAACAATATCATCACGCTGACGATGAAAGGGCGCGAGGTGGCCGCCGCGATCGGGTTCAGCGAGGCGGAGAGAGAGAGGAGATCGCGCGAGGGCGGGAGCTGGGGCGGGTACCTGCAGTACGACGCCGGCGTCGACGCGAAGGTGGTCCCGGCGACGCGCGAGGCGCACCCGTTCGCGACCGGCGTCGACCGCGCGACGGTGCCGGTGAAGATCAAGGGCGCGCCGTTCGACCCGGACGCGACGTACCGCGTCGTGACGTGGGCGGGGCTGTTGGACGGCGCGGACGACATCCCGGTGTTTCGCGACATCGGCGCGAGGATCTCGAACGCCGTGCATCACGCCGAGTGCGATCCGGAGGACGAGGCGTGCATCGCGGAAGCGGAAGCGGCGAGGAGCGGCGGCGGCGGCGGCGGCCCCGCGGCGGCGGTCATCAACTCCTCCGACGGCGTCCCGTTCAAGATTCTCGTCATGCGGCACCTCGCGCGTCTGCGGTGGCGCGAGATTCTCGAAACGTACCGCGTCGAGCCGGGGTCGGGTTCGAGCTTAATCTCGAACGACGACGCGTTCTTCGCCGCCGTCGACCGCGACGGCGACGGACTGATCACCGCGTCGGACGTCCGCGTCGTCCTCGAGGCGAGAACCGCGAGCGCGAGCGCCGAGCGGGAAGCCGAGGCGATGGTTCGAGTCTTCGACGGCGACGGCGACGGCGCGGTGTCGAGGTGGGACGTCGCGGAGCTCACGTCGCACTGGAGCGGCGCGACGGAGACGGACGGCGAGACGACTTCCCGCGCGCTCCCGTCCGCGTGTTGAACGGAGCGGTCGTCGTCTCTCGAGGACGGACGGGCTTCGGCGGCGGCGGCGTCGACGGCGGTGGCGGCGGAGCGCGCGGTGTCGGCGGGCGAACGTCGGTTGTACGAGTATGCGACCACTTCATTAAGTCTAAGGTCTACCATCTTGCTGTTGTAACGGGACGCGGCACTGTACGAGTACGCGTGAGTACGCGTGCGCGCGTACCACTCGCGCGCGTCTCTTCTCTCGTCGCGCGAGAGAGACGGGTCGAGGTCATCAGTACCCCTCCGGTCGGTACTCCGGCGCGCGGAACTGGTACGACCACCCCGGCGGCAGGTACTTCGCGCCGTGGTCCTCCGTCGAGCCCTGAGGGTCGTTCCACACAAAAACAGTTCATCGGTCATTTGAAAGGGGACGCGATCAAGTGTTGAAACCGGGCGATGGGTGAAAAACTTTTGTATAGAACGCACCTGGTACGACTCCCCGCCCTGCACGAGCCACGTCCCGACGTCGTAGTTCGGGTCCTCGACGTACCCCACCCGCGCGCCACCGTCGTTCGCGTCGTCGTCGACCGCGACCGTCATCCCGCCGGTGACGCCCTCGATGTCCGCGGTGCCCGTCTCCTGCCGGTCCAAGTATCCCTGAGGGTCGTTCCGCGCGAAGAAAGTTCGCTCGTCGGTCAGCGGAAAGGGGACGCGATCAAGCAATGAAAGCACCGAGCGGGCGAAAAAGTCACTGTAAATACGATCAACCTTTCCGATCAAAAAACGCGCGTAGCACAGAACGCGCCTGGTTCGGCTCGAGCACGGGCGGCCTCTCGTCGAGGTCGTCGTACGGGCCCTTGCCTTTCGTGGGGCCGTAAAACGCTCGCGTCTCCGGGGTGTACGCCGTGCACGCGCTCGCGTTGCTGCACATGTACACGTCGCCGTACGCCCCCGGGCCGCGCGCGACGTTCTCTTCGAAAAGGTTGTCGAACAACGCCGCGCGACCGTACACGAACATCGCGCCGGCTTCGATCGCCGCCTCGTTGCGCGTGAACTTGCTGTCCTGCACGAGCGCGTTCCACCCGGGGATGAAGAGCGCGCCGCCGCTGCGCGCGGTGGCGTTGTTGCCGTCGAAGAGGACCCCTCCTATCAACCCGCCGTCCTTGAGCAAGATCCCGCCGCCGGCGAGCGCGGTGTTGTTTATGAAGTCGCACGCGGCTGATGAAAGAAAAGGGCCGTTCCGCGCGAGACGAGCGCGTCGGTCAGTCGAAAGGGACCCACGCGATCGAACGTCGACGCCGAGCGGTGGGTGAAAACGTTCGCGCGGAACAGAACGCACCGAAGATGATTTTTCCGCCGGTGGCGAACACCGCGCCGCCTTGCCCCGTCGTCGCGGCGTTGCCTCTGAACACGCACTCGTCGAATATGACCCAGCCGTCTGCCGCGGATCTGACCCACGCGGCGCCACCGTCGCCGTCCGCGACGACGTTATCGATGAACGCACATCGGACGAACGTTATGTTATGCGGTTTGTTCCCGTCTTTGCGGTTGACGTTTGACAAAAAAATCCCGGCGCCCGCGGATTGCGTCGCGTGGTACCCGGACCCCGGCGGGTACGCGCTTCCCTCGAAGACGACGTCCTCGAAGTGCCCGCTCCCTCCGGCTTGGATAAACACGAACCCGCCGAGCCGCCCGCCGCCGTTCTTCAACCGCAGCCCGTGCAGCGTCACTCTCCCAGACTCCGGGATCAGCACGAAGCTCTTCCGCGCGCACTCGACGACGCAGCCCTCCGGATGCTCCGTCTCGTCCTTGCACATCGCGGACGCCTTGATGACGACGTCGCGGTATATCGGCACCCCCGGGCGCGGCCACGTCCACGGCGCCTCCGTCTCCGTCGTCGACTCGACCTCCGCGCCCGGCGGCGGCGGCGGCGGCGGCGGCGCGGCGTGGAACGCGCCGAGGTCTAACGGCGCCATGATCGTGATGCGCGCGACGTCCGGGTCTTCGATGGCGTGGTACAGCTGTCGCGCGTCCCACGCGTACGCGTCCCTCCCCGGCGTGACGCCGTCGTCCGCGAAGACGTCGTACGAGCCTTGCCATCGCGTGGCTTCGTACCACTTGGCGTTGTCGTAGCCGCCCGCGGGAACGCCCTGGACGCAGTCCTTCCACTCCCAGTTCGGGTCGCCGCCCTCGCTCGGGACGCCGTTCTCGTCGAAGACGATGCGTTGGTCCACGCACGGCCACTTGCTGAGCTTCTCGATCGTCTTGCGGAGGTCGACCTGCGCGGCGACGGGGGGGAGGAGAAGAAGGAGGAGGAGGAGGAGGAGGGCGAGGAGCGACGCGGCCGCCGCGCGACGCGGCATCGCGCGCGCGTCGTCGCGCGTGGGGCGACGAGAGTGACGACGATTCGACGGCGAGATTATTATGCGCGGCGTGCGTACTTCCGTACGCCGTACGGCTCGCGGCGTTCGATGACTGTTTGCGCGTGCGGGTCTTTGAGGTTTTGTGGCACGCGCGACGTCGCCACGTCGGACGCAGCGAGTGACGCTGCGAACGCGGGAAAGTTAAAGAACCAGTTGTTGTTGTCCGCTTTTTCGCGCGTCGCCTCGCCTCGGACGGAACCGAAGCGCCGCGCGCGACGCGTCTCGCACTCCCCGCCGCGCCGCCCGCGACCGCCGCGCGCTCGCGCGTCCCCGCGCCGATGTCCTCGCCCTCGAGCGCGTCGCACCCCGCGCGCGTCGCCTCCGGCGCGTCGTCGTCGTCCTCCGCGGCGCGCCGATCGTCGTCCGCCTCGGCGCCGTCCGACGACGACGACGACGCGACGGACGCGCTCGAGACCAACCGACGCATGGCGACGCGATACCGCAGCGCGAGATGCCCGCGCTGGCGCCTTCGCCGCGACCCCGCGGATGGCGGCGGCGGCCTCGGAGGCAAGCGAACGCCGAGAGCTCTGATGTACGACGCCGACGGCGGCGCGCCGTTCGAGCGCGCGTCGCGCACGCGCGACGGCATCGCGATCTGGACGCGCGCGTCGAGCGCGTCCGCCGCGAAGGAGATCCTCGCGGAGGTGACGTTCCCGGACACGCCGAGGGACGCGCTTTGGCGCGCGGTGTGTGACGTGGAGAGGTATCGCGAGTTCGTGCCGTTCGTGAAGCGATGCGACGTCGTGCGGCGGTCGACGATCGTCTCCGGCGCGCCGACGGGTGCGTCCGCGGCGTGGGTGTACAACGAGGTCAAGCCGCCGGTGGCGTCCGCGCGCGACTACACGATCAAGATCGAGTCCACGACGTCCCCGGACGCGAGCGTCCCGCACGTCTCGTCGTGGAGCGTGGACGACAGCGAGGGCCCGGGCCCGAGACGAGGGATCGTGCGTCTGACGCAAAACTCGGGGCGGTGGGAGCTTCGAAGCGCGGGGCGCGACGGGCGGGGCACGGCGCTGACCTACCGCGTGTTGACGGATCCGGGCGCGAGCCTGCCCGGGTGGCTCATCGACATCGCGAACCAGAACTCCGTGCCGGACGTCCTGCGCGCGTTCAAGAAGCGCGCGGAGAGCGGGCTGTACGAGCGCGAGGACGTCGAGCGCGAGAACGCGGCGAAGTTGGCGTTCCGAGGCGTCGGTTGGGGAGCGTCGCGGTCGTGGCGCGGCGTCGGCGACGCGTTGGCGTCGGCGTTTCCCGGGTCGGAGGGGATCGGGATCGGGATCGGGATCGGGACCCCCGAGTGGCTGTCCGCGCGGGGGGTGATGGCGAAGGCGAGCGCCGCGTTCGAAGGGCTCGGCGCGAAGACGGCGTGAGCGCCGAGGAGAGAGAGCGAGAGGGGGAGAGAGAGATGGGGAGGGAGGGACGAACGAGAGGAAAGAACGCGCGTCGCGCCAATTTGGAAAACGAGGGGAACGCGAAGAAGCACGTCGCGGTATGTCTTTTGGATATACATCACACGAGGACAGTCAGTAGGATACAATCGATCGTCTTCCATCGCGCCCGACGGACGCCGATCGTCACGGCGCGCCGGCCGCGTGCGCTTTCGTGCACTTCGCCATCGTCGCCGACGCGCGCGAGATGGCATCCGTCATGTAAAAGTTGGTCACCGACGTCCCGAACGCCTCCGACGCGTCAATCTTGCTCTCCTTCGCGCCGATATGCGCGTACGTCGCGCCGTTGAGCCACATCGACGGCTGGACGTCGTCCACGCGCGCGAACGTGGGCGATATCTCCTCCATTCGTCGTCGGACGTCGCCGATGGTGTCGTACGGAAGCGCCGCGCCCACCGTCTCCGACAGCGCGCGAATAATCTTCCAATCCTCCTGGGCGCTCCCCAACGGCGCGACCGCGGGCATCGCCCGCTGCGCCCTGCCCTCCGTGTTGACGTACGTCCCCGCCTTCTCCGTGTACGCCGCGCCGGGGAGGATCACGTCCGCGCTCGCGGCGCCGACGTCGCCGTGGTGGCCTTGGTACACGACGAAGGCGCCGGGCGATTTTTCAATCCCCGCCTCCGCGCCGAGCGAATAGACAAACGACACGTCAGCGTCCGACACGCCCGCCGCTGACGTGGACGGCACGAACCCGAGGTCGAGCGCGGCGACGACGCCGCCGGCGTCGTGCAGGACGTTGAACCCGTTCCAGTCGTCCGCGACGACGCCCGTCGCGTCCGCCAACGCGTGAATCGCCTTCATCACCGCGTCTTTATCCGCGCGCCGTAACGCGCTCGCGCCGACGATGATCAACGGCCGCTCCGCGGCTTTCATCGTCTCGAAGAACGGGTGCGACCCGGACGCGAGCGTCTCGAGGTCTCTCGCGGAGTCGCCCAGGGACTCGACCGGGTACGTCAGGTCCCGCGTCGGACCGACGCTCGCGACGCGCGTGCCCCCCGCGACGTTCGCGCGTCGCAGACGCGCGTTCAACACCGGCGCCTCCGAGCGCGGATCCGAGCCAATCAGCAGGATCACGTCCGCGTCCTCGACGCCGACGATGTTGCTGTTGAACAGGTAGGACGAGCGCGAGTCCGCGGAGACGCCCTCGACGGATTCCGCGCGCGTGTTGCCGCAGCCGACGCGGTTGAACATGTCCTTCAACGCGACGATGGACTCGGCGTCCGCGAGTTTGCCCGCGATGGCTTTCATCTGTTCGGGGGGGGTCGATCTCATCTTCGCCGCGACCGCGTCGAGGGCTTGTTCCTGTCGTCGGCGTCGTCGTCGGACGGGAGGGAGGGAGGGAGGGAGGAGCGAGACGGTGAGCGACGAGGGAACGGGTTCGCGTAATTTTGTTTTGGTCGCGTCCAGCCGACGCCGCGAGAGGGAAGGAAGGATCGGAGAACTTTGAAGACTTATCAGGAAACGTTTCGCGCTCGTCACAGAGTTTCAGCGACGTTCCTTTCGTCAGTTCCTTCCCTCGCACCCGGGCCGGGGGAGAAAAAGGAAAAAAGGAGCGAAAACAGCGCGAAAAAGCGCGCGCCGATCGACGCCGGGACGAATAACCAAAAGAAAAAACCAAAACCAGAAAACGAACGAGCCGAGACGAGCCGAGCCGAGCCGAGCCGCACCCAAGTCGCCTGCCTCAGCTTCCCCGACGCGTCCTTCACCATCGGCGAGTCCAGCCGCTGCCGCTTCAGCCCGTCGTACGAGAACCGCGCCTTATCGCTGATCCACTCCTCGTTCACGCCCTCGTGCAGCCGCGGCACCACGCGCATCACCTCCGTTCCGCGCGCGTCCACTCGAATGTTGCTCCCCAACCCGTCCGTCACGTCCACGCTCTCCGTCTGCCGAAGCTCCCACGATCGCGCGGTGAACGCGAACGGCTTGGACGTCAGCGCGCCGACGGGGCACAGGTCGATGACGTTCCCGGAGAGCTCGGAGCTGAGCAGCTTCGAGACGTAGGTGCCGATCTCCGCCATCCCGCCGCGGCCGGTGACGCCCAAGTCTTGCACGCCCGCAACCTCGGTGGCGAACCGCACGCACCGCGTGCAGTGGATGCAGCGGCTCATGACCGTCTTCACGAGCGGGCCGAGCTCTTTGTCCTCGACCGCGCGCTTGTACTCCGTGAAACGCGATCGGTCGCTGCCGTACACGAGCGACTGGTCTTGAAGCTCGCACTCGCCGCCCTGATCGCAGATGGGGCAATCAAGCGGGTGGTTGATGAGCAGAAACTCCATGACCCCCTCCCTCGCCTTCTTCACCAGCGGCGTCGTCGTCTTGATGTTCATGTTCGGCATCACCGGCATCGCGCACGACGCGACCGGCTTGGGCGATTTCTCCACCTCCACGAGGCACATCCGGCAGTTCCCCGCGATGGAGAGCCGCTGGTGGTAGCAAAAACGAGGGACGTCGACGCCAGCTTGCTCGCACGCTTGGAGCACGGTGACGCCCTTGGGGACCGCGATCTCTTCGCCGTCGACGAACACCGGGACGGTGTCGCTCATGTTGCGCCGCGCCGCGACCTGTGGATCGGCGACGCGCGGGGAGGGGGTGGGAGGGGGGGCGGAGGGTTGGAGGGATGGCGTTCGGGGGAGCGACGGACGCGACGACGACGCGCGCGATCGGACGGACGGATGAAAGGGGCTGGGGGGAACATCGTCCGCGCTCGGCCGCGCGTCGCGCGCGCCGGCGCGCGCGGGCGCGGGGTCGACCGTCGCCGCGGCGAGCGCGCGCGCGCGCGCGAGGACGACGCGCGCGCGCTCGCGGCGAGGACGACGCGCGGCCGTCGTCCCCGAGGCGCGACGACGACGCGCGAAAACAAACCCTAGATGGACGGAGACGGAGACCGAGCGCGGAGGAGGGTGGGAGGAGGGGCGTCGATCGACGACGACGCACCCCGGCGACGGAGGTGCGCAGGAACGCGGTCCGCGCGTGCGAGAGCCCGGAGCGGAAAAACGACGTCGCCATCGCGACGGACGCGCGCCTTGAGTTCGCGAGGCTCGCCCGGCGTGCGCGGCGCCTCTTGAAGTGCGCGCGCGGCGCGGCGCGGGACGGACGTCCCTTCGCGGAGAAGACCCGTTCGCGCTCGGCGCGCTCAGAGGCGCGTTCTATACAAAAGTTTTTCACCCATCGTCCGGTTTCAACATTTGATCGGTTACCCTTTCAACTGACCGGTAATATGGAACGGCAAATATCGTGAGATCGGTCGTCACAGTCCTCTCTTCCCTTCTGCACGCGTTCAAGTCCCGCCGGTGGAGCTGTCAAAATCGCACACCGGCCGGGCCGCGCGACGCGACCGCGCCGAGGTCGACCGCCGCCGCAGCGATGCTCCTGGACGACTTCGTCCTCCTGAAGAAGCTCGGCGAGGGCGCGTTCGCGACCGTTTGGGCCGCGAGGCGGACGCGCGCGCGGCCGCGGCCGGGCGCGCGCGACGACGACCACGACGACCACGACGACCACGACGACGACGGACGGACGCTGTTCGCGGTGAAGCATCTGAAGCGAAAGGACGCGCCCGGGTCGTCGCTCAACGGCGGACGATCGCTCCTGGACTCCGCGGAGTTCCGCGCCCTGCGCGTCCTCCCGCGGCACGCGAACGTCCTGCGCGCGGTGCAGGTGGCGCGCGAGCGCGGCGTCGTCTTCCTCGTCACCGAGTGGTGCGATTCGAATCTCCTGCAGCTGATCGACGCGTCGCGCGCGAGCGGCGCGCGCGCGCTCTCCGAGCCCGTCGTCGCGCGCGCGACGCGCCAGCTCCTGAGCGCGCTCGCGCACTGCCACGCGCGCGCGTGGGCGCACCGCGACGTGAAGCCGGAGAACGTCCTCGTCAAGGACGGCGTCGCGAAGCTCGCGGACTTTGGCGAGGCGTGCGAGTTCGCGTCCGACGACGCGCGGACGTCGTACGTCGGCACGCGGTGGTACCGCGCCCCGGAGCAGTTCATCGTCGAGCACGCGCGGCGGGCGCGACGAGGCGGCGGCGGCGGCGGCGGCGGCGGCGGCGGGCGCGCGGCGGGCGACGACGTGGACGCGACGTGGCGGCTGATCCCGGGCGCGGCGGACGTGTGGGCCGCCGGATGCGTCATGGCGGAGTGCGCGATCGGCCGCGCGCTGTTCCGCGGGGTCAGCGACCACGACATGCTGAGGAAGATCGCCGACGAGGTTGGCGACGGCGGGGGCGGGGGCGAAGGAGGAGACGGGGGCTTGTCCGCGAGCGCGCGCGAGGCGTGGGAGGCGGCGGCGAAAGTCAGGCGCGTTCTATACACTGGTTCCCATACGACCGCGTTGGCGTGGTGAACGCCATTCCTTAAGGACTTTTGCCGTCGCGTCTCTCCGCCCACCCCACGCTTTCAATACCCGCCCTCGGCGCCTTTCAACTCCATCTGACGCCTATGAACTCCACCCCAACATTCGCTTGTATGGACAATTACCCTCAGCCCCGGCGGCGCGCCGCAGAGAGGCTCCCTCGGGCGCCTGCGCGAGACGACGAGAGATTGTCTGGGCGCGACCTCGTCCGGCGGGCTCGATCTGCTTCGGAAGCTGCTGCGTCCGGACCCGCGCGCGAGGATCACCGCCGCGGAGGCGCTGAGGCATCCGTTCTTGCGCGGCGACGCGGCGACGCGCGGACGGATCGAGGCGGCGACGCCGAAGGCGGCGACGTCGTTCGGCTCGGGATCGTCGGGTTTCGGCGGACGCGGCGACGGCGACGGTCACGGTCACGGTCACGGTCACGGTCGCGGTCACGCGCGCGGCGCGTCGTTCGGTCTGAGCGGCAAGGCGGCGGAGCGAGCGGAGGCGCGCGCGAGACAGCGCGAGGCCGCGGCCGCGATGGGGGACTCCTCGGACGACGAGTTCGAGTTCGAGGTCGGTCCGAACGCGGAGCGGTCGGTCGATGCCGACGCGACGCCGGCGGCGGCGTTTCGGTCGGAGATGCCGCCGGAGATGCCGCGCGAACCGACGGCGGAGGCGGTCGCCGCGATGGCAGAGATCAGGCGGCAGTGGGACGCGGACGGCGGCGGCGGCGCGAGCGGCGGCGCGGCGGCGTCGGCGGCGCGGC